ATGTGTACTGTTATGTATGAAGGTGAGGTCATGCTTGAGTGTAAGGATAGTAGTGTGCATATGTTATTTCTGTGGCCATTATGTCCTCATACACTTACATTTATGCACCTACACATACTGTGGCACATGGGTCATATAGCGAACAGGGCATGGCTCTCCACGATCACAGTAATTACACAGATGCTTCTCATCTGCTACCTAATGTTGATGACAGGCTGTTCACAGTCTGCCACACAGATCAATTAGACCATTCATTCAGGGGCCTTGTTTGTATCTGCTCATCAGTTAGAGAGGACAGATCAGGGCCAGGCTGCCATAAAGTGCTGTGATCAAGCTGAGGCTATAAATAAGGGTTAGCCTTGCAGATTCATCCCGACCTGTCCTCTAGCTGTGAATCTTTTACAACAGTGTGAAATTCTTCCTTCAGTGAAAGTGTCAATGTAAGATTTTATTATTAACTAACCACGCAATGGTTAGTGTTTTTCAGAAGTAACTTCGAAAGTAAGAACTCTTTGAGCTCTTGAGGAAAAACTCATCCGGGAAATCAGACTGAGCAAATGTTTAAACAGGCTTGCACCATCATGTGATGTTTGTATAATGTTGTATAATGTGTAATGTTTCTGTCTGTATAATATTTGGTCCATGGAGGAACATCTCAAAAGCTACTGAATAGATTGACCATTCAACTCTATACGGGCTCTTGTTTTTGGATTAAAGTTTATATTTTTCAACTGAAGGTATTTTTTTGTTGTTGTTGTGAAGTGATGTGAAGCTGTATGAGTTAGTCACCAAAAGCCACAGTGAATGTCTGTTAGTTTGGCTTTTTTATTGAGACCAACCAGTCCAGTGGCACAGAAGCAAGGCTATCAACCATTGCATACATGGACATTTATGCCATGTAATTAAGTTAGTTTAAAGAAAGTCCAGCCCAAACCCTCCTGCTGATGCAAGCATATTTAGATTTTTTTCTCTGTATTTTACTTGGCTGTCAGAATGCCACTTTGTTTCTGCGCAAATATTTTTTAAATCTTTTTACATGACTTGGCTGACACACTAATGGCACAGAAAGGGCCCAATCTACTAAGATCTCAAAAAGCGAGCGCTAAATTGCGTGTGCAAACTCAGAAATTGCATGTGCTTTTAGTGGGCATTTTGTGGGTGATCTACTATCATTGGGTGTGCAATTGATAACAGGTGCATCAGAGTTTGTGAGGGCAGAGTGATCGTAGCCGAAAAAAGAAGTTTGAAGCCATGGGGCTCTATTTTCGTGCCTCGCCGAAGACGTGCCGCAGGCGCGGCGTAAGTCAGGTCCGCCGCGCCGACAAGGCGTTCCCAAGCACAATTTGGTATTTTGGTGAGCAGCACAGCCCGGCGTAAGTATCCCCCCTCCCTAACTCAGCTCCTCCCAGCGGCGTAAGTTGTTGCGAAGGAGGAGAGAGGGCGTAGAGTGGGTGTAACACAGCCGAGACCTGTTTTCACCAATAACATCAGCTCCTCTCCTTGCCTTTAAATCCGCCACCGGCAAGGCGTCTTACTTTTTTCGGGAAGTAGTCAAAGAGATCAAGAGATGTCTGAAGACAGTAATGCCACACGATGGCGACAGAAGGCAGCTCCTCAACAAGTGTAACTGTAAGCGCTGCATTGGGCGTCCTCCACACTCTCTCATAGAAGCACAGATGGATTTGGTGTGTGTAATGTTGGACCCACTGGTAAGACAAACACCCTTTTACACAAATAAAGACACTCACATAAAGTTGCATATATTCAAACCTCACGTGACAAAGGTGGGTTGAGCGCACAGATCACAACATAAACTCCAAAAATGGCATTAAAATCAGAACCATCTGTGCGTAAATGAAGCATCACGCTCCGTGGCCTGGCTCTTTCTTTCATAGATGTTGGCATATAAATAAATTTGCCTCACAAAACTGAATATTATAATATTCGTATGTAGGCTTAAAGTAGATAACTCATCTGGGGCCTTATGTATCAATACTTGCGTGGAACTCATACCAGAAACGAGCGCACGCAAGGTCCGTAACGCTGAAAAAAATCGGTATGTATCAATGTGTGCGGGCGCCGAAATCCACGTGTGTTTCCTTGATAAATCCCAATCAGCGTGGAATTGAGCGCAGATGTCGGAGTGACTGGGCCCGTCCCCGTTACGCCCTCCTATAAAAATGCAGATTTATTTAAATAGGGTCTCCCTGTCCTCGCACGCAGACAAAATGACAAGAAAAACTAAATTTACGGCGTGCGAGGTGGAGGTGCTGGTGGCGGAGGTGGAGGAGCGACAGCCTGTTTTGTTTGGCAGCCTGTCCAGTGGCGTCAGTGCAAAACAAAAACGCTTGGAGTGGGAGAAAGTTTGCGAGAGGGTGAATGCGGTGGGTTCCGAGACACGCACCCCCGCAAAGATTAAAAAAAAGTGGTCGGACCTCAAGGTGGAGGTCAAGCGGCGTACAGCTGCCCTCCGGAGGAGTACTGGCCAGACAGGTGGGGGTCCGGGGGAGGAGACCCTCACACCGTTTGAGCAGCGGGTGGTGGCGATTATTATTATAGGGTAAGTGGCGTGTCACACAAATGTCCACATGCTTTGTCATCCCACTGAGCAAAAGACGTATATTAGACGTCTAGTCTAAGTTTATACTTCATTTCAACGTCGGGATTCAGTCTATTTTTAGACGTGATTTATACTTCGCCCTTAACTTCATTTTTCGATAACTTTTTATGCAATAAACAACTGTAATGTGCATAACTGACCTCGAAATACTGGATTACATTACCTATGATACCGTGGAGAGAGATGTAAACGCAACAGATACACAGAAGCAGGAATTGAAATGAACAAATATTTTTATTGTGTCACAGAAATCAATGTGTCGGCCGTGTCGCCGGCTTGCGGAACCCCGGCCCGCGGCAGCCCGTCCGCCGGCTCGGAGTCATCGGCCAGGACCAGCGGCATTCGGGCCACCCCGGCCCCCGGCCCCAGCACCAGCACCAGCACCAGCATCAGCATCAGTGCTCCGACAAGCAGTGGAGCGTCCACCAGCCGCGGCGCTTCCGCTGGACCACCCGGACGCAGTGGAAGGGTCCTCGCGGAGGGGGTCCTGCAATCGCAGGAAGAAATCATCAGGGGGATCGCGGGGATCAACGAGCGGCTGGACCGGCTCGTAAATGTCCTCGAGCGTCTGGTGGAGAAAATAAATTAATTTGGCTCATTGAACGGTGTATTCACTTCTTACCCATTCACACTGTGGCGATGAGATTCTCCCGCGCGAGGACGGCGGCCCGGCAGGGATCAGCTCGCATCCCTCTGTCTGCTGCTGGTTCGTCATGTGGGGCGACGTGCTGCTTGGCCACAGGGATGTGGTGCACGCTTGTCACATAGTGAGTCACCAAACACCGCCACACAGCGTCGCCAAAGTGCGAATCACAGTCAACGCAAGTATCGGCTCAACGCCAATTTCTACACCACCTCCTGACTTTGCGCTGATTAGCGCTGGAACCGACGCTCGTTTCGCGGTGATAAATCTGGACGTGTGCGCCGATTTTGGCGTACGCAAGGTTTTCTTGCGCCGCAAGCGTTGATACATAAGGCCCCTGATCACTGAAACAAATCATCTGTTCAGCCGCTAAAGCTGCAGCAGGACGGAGAGAGGACACGGAGACATGTCCAGGTCGAGCTGTGCGAGAAATAAGAGGAAGAGGAAGAAAGAAAAGGAGGGAGACAAATTAGATATCTTGTTAACTTCATCATGTGTGTCTATTTACTAAATATTCAATTTAATTTAATGCGGTTTCAGCTGTGTTGATTCGGTCAGGTTGTGTGTCCAAACGTGTGCCAAACGCGTTCATCAGATCAGATATAGATCATTTACCAGAAAAACGAACTAAATCATAAGCTTTTTGACCTGCAGCTTCGCCGCACTCAGCCCTAGTCTCCAAGACTCAACAGTACCCAGGACCTGCTGTTTTTTCTGTTATTTAGTGCGTCCCGAGTGCGTGGGAACTAGACATAGTTGCCAATCCTGCATGGCACAGCATTCAACCATTGGGACAGCACACCAGAAAAACTACTCTAGACGCACAAACTGTGTAGCCTGGCCGGGCTATCCTGTTGTGTGAATCACTTGATGGGAAGGAACATCAAGTGATTTACGCAACAGGATGGCCCGGCCAGGCTACAAACTGTGATGGTGTGCTGGAATGATCCAGATGCATGAAAATGTAGCGTTAAATTAGTCTTTCAATGGGAGATATGGCATGGATAATTTTTTTTGACTGGGTCATCCCCTAGGTCACCCAGCAGCTCAAAAAATGCACTACTATTACTATTACTCTACTATTTTTATTTCTGAGAGTCCAAAGATGACGCACGGAAGACTTTCTCTCTCCGTTGTCTATTATTTTCAGTGGCAAAGTGAACTGTTCGAACAGCCTGTAATGAAAGTAAATGCCATAAGAAAGGACAATAGATGCTGCAAGTTAACAGAATACTATTACAGAGAGTGAAACTAGAGTAAAACCTGATCAGCATGTCTGACATTCAAGTGATAAAAGATGAGCCAAAAATACAAAGAAAAAAACTTGCACTATAAGAGTATAATGGGCTGAAAATTGAGCATTTAGACACATGTAAGCTGAGCCAGACAGTATACGAAACAACTCTTTTTTTGTGGTAACTAGAGGACTTGATTTACTGCTGGGTGACAAAGCCTCATCAGTGTAGCTGTGACTATATAAAGTCACTTGTTGACTCTATATCATACAGAAATTTTCAGAAACATTCACAAGTTTTGATGTGTCACAATTCACATACAAAATCCATCTGAAAGAAAATACACGCACAGATATACATCCTGCTTGCAGAGTTCCAGCAACACTGACAGATCACCCAAAGAAGGAACTTATGGTGAAGAGTATTAGGGAGCCAATGGACTGGCTATTTATGCAGTGTGTGCAAAAAGGTGACCTGAGAATATGCATAGATCCAAAAGGTCCAGATGAGAGCATCAAATGAGAACAAAAAAAGAAAAAAGAAAAAGCCCGGTTGGTGTTTGTACATAGACTGTATAAAGAATGGACACAGTCTGCCTCCTCGTTGGGTGAAGCCACTGCAAGAACAGCACCCTCTGTTGATGGGCTGCAGTATAGATCATAAATCCCGCCTCCTCCAGCAATCTCTATGGAACTGTGGACAAACTTTAGAAATTCATTACACAGAATATAAAGTTTTTTCCACCCTGGTTTGCAATGTTGACATGTAGTTACTGTAAGACTGGTTTGTGCTGAAGTCCTCTTTTTTTCTGTGCAGCTCCATTTTTAAAAGTTATTCAAGAGTTCATGTTTCCTATGATTGACACTTGATACAGCCTATGGGCGCACGAAGATTGGGTAGCTCACCCGGGGGATACGCTGTTTGAGCCGAGCGTCATCAAAGCGACTCTCCCGCCAAATGCGTACAATGCTAGTTCCAGGGAGTGGAGAAAATCCCAGAAATACCAAGAGCAATTTGGCTTCAAATTCATATAATGTCGGAAGGTGGAAACAAGTTGTCCATAGCTTATACAGTCTCTGTGTTTGGATTTTAAAGGTTTCAGAGCCCTCTTTCATTGTACAGAAAATCATTGCCCACTTGTTGCCACTATATCAAAAAGAACCTGAATGAAAAGACAGAATTATTAATTCTTCAATAAATAGTAGCTGGGATGAGATTCCAGATATATGAATTTGCTTTTGAGGATCAATAAAGTTCTTGTATTGTAATATATTCAAGTATTTGGATTGTATCATCATATCTGCATGTAATGGAAATATGCAGGTATGACTTTGAGCTGACCTTCACAGGAAAGCATCTGATACTTGCTCGGGCACACTACTACAAGTGGATGTGTGAGAACAAACGATGAGGATGCTCAGAGCCTTGTGAAAACAGTGCTGTTGTGCTTCTTGTAGTTGATGCAAAGTCCAGACAAAGAGCCAAAGACACAGACTTTCAACTTGTCATTAGAAACTTGAGCAATGGATGGCCTGTAGTTTCCTGTTTGCTGTTTTATCGCATCAGAAATAATCTGGGTATTATTGATGGACTGCTGCTGAAGTCAAGCTGAATTATTTTCCTCATAAATTGAGACAGAGAAACTGTGAAGGTCATTATGATGTTGAGAAATGTAATAGAAGGGCAGGAGACACAGTTTCCTCGTATCGCATTAACGGAGCCTGAGAAGCACACGTGACACATGCTAGAAGCCCAAGGACAAGTAAAACCAAAGAGCTCACTATTGTATTGGAATAGACTCCATTCACCTCCAAGATAAAGTCTACACGGTGGTCTTTGATTACAATTCAAACTTCCCAGAAATGGCATCACTATCAAACACATCATCAGCCTGTGTCACAGCACTGGAAAAATCAATCTTTGCCAGACACTCCAGACACCTAACAGTGTGACAATGGACCAAGCTTCAACAGCTGAGAGTGGAGGCTGTTTGCACAAAAGATCAATTGCCACCCATGTGACATCTGGTCCACCCTATGTACAGTCAAATGGTAAAGCTGAGAGAGGCATCCGCATCCTTAAGCAACTGCTGAAAAAGGCTGATGAAAGCCACTTGGCTCTATACCTTCCTCTACTCAGCTACAGGGCATCACCTCTTGAGTATGGACTATGACTTGCTGTGCTATTGATATATTGAAAGCTGTATACCACTCTGCCGAGCTATCTGAAGCAAAGTAAACATCCATATCTGGAGCGTAGGCTGCAGCGACTGAAGATGAGGCAGAAATCATTTTATGACGACAACACTCATTCACCACCAATCTGTCCACCCTCCACAGACACTGAATGACAAAAATTGCACAGGTTCATAAGTAGATGTATTCTGTGAATTGCCTTTCTTTTACATTACATTGGAACAGATTGACGTCTTTTACAATTAGAAAAAAGACTACAAACAACAATTACAAGAGTATTTATTGAACCTTATGCAACCAATTTGTTCAAAACAAAGGCTCAAATGCAGTATTTATTATACAGTTTAGGTAAGAACTGCAAAAATAATCATTAATTTGGTGTGAATCAAAAAGAAGGAAGAACATCCTAAATTAGATGGCTTTGGGGCCTTCATCTGTGTCTACGTCCTCATGTAGAGCAGGCACATACTCATTCACTTTGGGAGTCAGACTTCCAAACAGGCATGTAATTAGATTTTAAAAAACCCCTATCAACATGTTTGCCTGTGGCTGCATTTAATCATGCGCTTTAGGAAAATCTGTTTTTAATCCTGTTAAACTTTTTGCTAAAAGTCACCCTCCATGTGGTTCAGATGGGGAATCAGTGTAGGAAGATTCTCTTGGATTACTGTAGAGAGGGGAACAATATGTTATCTCTGGGGTTGGGGTTGGGGTTGGGCAATCTGAACAGCCAACATAAATGACGCTAATAAAGTTTGGCAGATATAAAATAAGAGGGTAATGGTGCAGCTTCCGCTCTTTGTACCTTTTAATCTTCACCTTTGCCTTTTACACCTCATTTCCATTTACGGACTCTACAGTGTTCTATGACTAATACATCATGTGCCCATTTCACAGGCTCTTTACACAAGTGTTATGCAAGTGATGAGACTGAATAATGACCTCTTTTTTTTTTGCTCTTTTACAGATGGCAGACTGTAAATTCTTTAGGTGAGTGTGTACGCCTGGGATTGTACATGTGTACGTACACACCCTAAATGTACACTATATATTCTATATACAGTCTATGGTACACTCACATGTTTAAACCCATATGCACTGCTATTGTGTTTGAACAAGCGAGTGTCACAGAACAAGCCACTCATTGAAGTTATCAAGTGTGTAACAGCCCATTAACAACTTATTTTTTATCTGTCCTTGAATAACAATTTGAGTTCAGCATCATGTAACAGGCAGTTTATGGTGTCTGAGAGCAGCTGCTTCAAACTGCTGTAATAATAATAAATGAGAGACTCCATTCACAAACAAGCACCCCCTGCTCCCTCCAAGAAGTAGTTTTAGATTGAATCAAACAGTGAAACATAGCAACAGAAAACACATGCAAAGATGAAATGAAGATTCATTTCAAGGTCATAATAGAAGTAGAAACTCGTCAGTCTAAGTCTGCTGTTATAACAGAAAACAAAGATCATTTCCACTTTGAAGCAACAGCTAACGTGGGACAGACATAAAGCAGACTTTTCTCTAATGTTCAGGTTCCTTGAATTTGCACCCCCGTGGGCCCCAGAGGTTCTGAACATTTGTGTGTTTTTCTGTGTAAAACTTCTGTGAGGAACCTTTTGGCACCTCTCTGTGGACAAAGCAGTCTCTCCTATCTTGTTCTCTGCATGCCTAGTGTCTTCTTACAGAAATATCACAGTGCAGACTTTATAAAGTCAAGCGCGTCATTCATTGTGAATACTTTGTGTGAAACTCTAAGAACAGGATTGTTTTCTCACTTCTCACACTGTTTCAGATATCAAAGATTTCAACGTATGAATCATAACTCTTGTCCTTGAAGCTCTTTTTTACTTTTCTATATCATAAAAAGACATCAATATCAACTTCCCTCTATTTCTTAAAATCTGCTCACAACACCTTTCATTTAATATGTACTTCACTTAAATGTTTCTTCCAATGCTTTTGGACAAAAATGTGTTATAGCATACAACTGGGGGGCTTGGACAGCATGCATGTTGTTTGTACTAGCAAATGCCACTTGCCACTGGCATATGGCATGTGAACTTTGTAACATGTCATCGGCTGTGTTTCAATCCCACTGTCACTCCAATATCATAATCTGTGGTGTCAGGGATGTATAAAGGTATTTATAAGCTTAGTGCAGTTCAGACTTAAGCATTCCTAGCTTTGAGAATGACCGCTCTAATGAGCTGTCTATACATTCTGTACCTCGTCACATGTTACATGAATGAATACATTTCATGTAATTACGGCCAACGAAATCTGCTGCCTGCATAAAAAGTTATTATGGCCAATTTCCTCAAACAGATAAACATTCAGGGAGATACAGAAACGCATGGTGAATAACAGAGAGGGAAGAAAAAGGGAGGGAGTAAATGGAGGTGACTGAGGAGGAGGTCCGTCCTCTCTCATCAGCGCAAAGAGGATAATTGGTGGCTGACCCTCCGACGTCCATCATCCTCCCCTGAAGACAAGGTGACAATGACTAACACTGTTGCACCTGGGGCACCTGCGTCACATGCAGCTACCAGGTAATGCTGTTCACACTGTAACCACACACCCACGCAGACACATACACATACACACAAACACACACATTGAACCTGTAACCTTTCATACAGAGTCTTATTTGTATGTGGAGTACCCACTCAGTGGAGTCATCCCTCTCTAATGGGTGTAATTAGTCCTCTTTGATCAAGCTGGTTTAGTGCTCAATAAGTACTCAGAGTAGTAACAAAGGAGGTGTACACTGTGGGTGAATGAGTGGGTTCATGCATGAAAGTATTGAGGTTATTTTTTCCTTTGCACACAGTGCAGAGTAGAAAGTTAACCTACAGCACACACTCTTACGTTTCTCTTGGATCATGTGTGAAACACTCAGTGATAGCTTCATGTGAGGATGTTTCATAATGATGTGGGATTATTAAGTAACATGAAAATCTCACACATTAACAGACATTATTCTGCATGACTAAATACATTGCTCCACATCATAGTTTGTGCATCAGTAAAATGTCATTTTGGCACAGGCTTTATGAGAATACAAAATAAACCAAAATGGTGGAAACAGTTTTCCTCTTGGATTGCTTCGCAAACATTACTTTACATCAGGGATTCATTTTGCGTATGTACAATGTGGGAGTTGGCATCGCGCAGCAGGAGCTTTCTGTACACTCCTCTCTTTGCACCAATATTTGACTATCATCCATCATGCATGTAGGCAAACAACGAGGAATTCTGGAGCTTGACCGGATCCCCCAAATGGAAAAAACTTCCTCAATTATCTTTTTCCACCTGCACAAACCCACAGCCCAAACCAACCATTGCACCAGATGATTCTTTCACTGAGCTGTTCAATAAGTCATGAAAATTCTCCAGATGACAGCGTGTACTAATTTTCATCAGGAAATATTTGCAGGGACATCAAATGTGTTTTGCAAACGCTGTAATCACTGACACTGCTTCAATTTACAATCACACTCCACTCGGTGCAGGAGCATAAATCACCCTCATTTACACGGAAGCTCTGGGAGCCAACTCATCGCACTCAGAGATGTAAAACAAAAATGTAGGAAAATATCTGCTATGTATTGAGTTTTAAACACTCTTTCATTTGCATTCACAAGTGTTTTAAGTGTCAACAGCTCTAAAGTGCGTTATATGCCTCTTATATAACTAATACCCTCTTCGAGTGCAAGAATACGTACCGCAGTACATCTACCACACTTGAGAGCTGGTGATCATTGCTTTTGTGTTGTAAGGAACAAGTGACCTCTTGCTTTGTAATGAAAGTAACAGCTTGGGACTGTTTTACATTGAAATAAGCATGTTACAGCTGTAGTGAGGAGTCTGAAGTTGGTTATGAAACAAACTGCAATTCATAACAAGGTCTTTTCATGATCCCCAAAATCAAAGAAAAGCATCGACGAAGAGATTGGTTATTTGCGTGTCATTATTTTCTATGCCTGTCACTACATTGATTGGCATTAAAAAACAAAGAAAAAGGGGTTATTTTTGTCAGAAAAACCTACGCAGATTAGCACAGGCAAAAAAAAAAAATGTTTAGTTTATTTCAAGGAATTTAAACAGCTTCTCCTTATTGCAAAGCTTTTTCTTTTTGTTCATCCCATTATCCTCCAACTGTCAATCATCCCTCATTTTTTACATTTTTTGCACATACAAGACTTTTGCTTTTGGTCTGTATTTCTCTAGAGATGATTTCTAATAACACAAGACAAGTGAAAATACATTGATATGAAAGTCAAAATGGCTTCAGACATTCAAGTATGATACTGCTTGGGGACATCAGGCCTGCAGAACCAAAGAAATAAAATGCAAAACTGTTGGAGTCAGCTTGAGAGATTGTGCTCTCTGTTGGTGCCATGTTTGAAGAATTTTCTCAGTAAATATACAGTATAACAAGCTTACACTTGGGTTCAGCTCCTTTCTGTTTTTGTTGTTTTGTGTCTGTTCTTGCGACACTGCTGACAATTTATAACTGACTGCTTGAAATTGCAAACACTTTCCAGCAACTTCATCACTGACCTGCAGTGAGGCACAAAAACAACAGATCTGCGAACAGAGTCTTCCATTTTGACAAACCTGGTTAAACTCAACGGTGGAGCTGTTTTTAACAATGTAATTTCCTTTTCACAACAGGGAGTTTATACACAGACCGATCTCTTCCTGTGCAGACCTGCGCCAAAGTCCCAGCACGCTTTGCACTGATAATTAGACAGACTAGCAGGGCTATTATTGCTGCTAATGCCTCTATACCAGGCTCTCGTCCCTTTAATCACACAGAACAGATGAGTAATTTTATAACGGTGGGGTTGGGTAGCCATTTACAAATACCTCTTTGGTGATTATTAAAAGATGTCTCACAAATCCCTGAAGGAAAACGGTGTGACGAGAAGCTAAAATGACAAAAACGACGGTGTTATTATTGATGTGCAGTGGGTTAGTCAGCCGTTACATAAGAAGACACAGAAGTGTGGTTCAGTAAATGAAGAAGTTTTCAAATAATATCAGGGAGAGAACAACAATGAAAAACTTTAGATTGCTGTTTTTTCTATCAGGGAGTGACAGAGAGTGCATATAAGCAGAGAGTTCGAACTGTATTTAAATCAATCGTCTGCTGGGAAGCACAAACACTTTTCATGTCAGAGTCAGTTTCATAACTTCAGCTTTAATTAGATTGACATATTGTCCTGGGGGTCTCCTCTAATCCTCGTACCCAGCATTTCTAAAGAGGACACACTGAATGGACTCTGAATAAGGCACCCAAATGCAATTTTGAATAAAGAACTCTTCCTATAAAGTATTCCAATTAAAATGATGAATCAAATTTAAAACGAACTGAAATCTATTATGGTGCATTTTATTACCAAAGTACTGTTTATTAAGTGCTCCTGAATGATTTACTCCTCTTTCCGTTGTTGCCGTTTTGTGCAGATATTTAGTCCAAGTTTGAAATAAAGCGTTATCACTGAGGGTCCCCTTGTATTTTTGAATACTGTTGGTTCATGAAGTGAACCTTCAGGAGTTTCGAATGAGGTTGTTTCATAAATCAAACCAGGACAACAGAGTGATGCTGCCTCCATCTACTGCAGGACACTGAGTACTGCAGGTTTTTACTGCTGAAATATTTTTAAAATCCAGGAAAAAAATGGAAATAATTCCTCAAAACACTCCCTTTTCAATCAGGTGTGATATCTCATTATTGAACATTCACTCTTACATTTATTTGGTCATATGTTGTTTTCAGGAAGGTTTCAGATAGCCTTTGATTCTACGGGTATTTATTTTCATAGTATTTTTGGGTTTAACAATAACTACATTTTTATGGAGCTGAATACTTTGGGCGCCTTGAGATGTGTGTAGAAATAAAAGTGGGTAAAGATGGATACAAAGGCTGAGTAAGATGAATTAATATTTATTAGATTTAAGAGCAAGTACAGAACTAAAATAGCATTTATAATGATTATTGAATTTTTTTGACGACATTAAGTGAGCCTCATGGGGTCTTGTCAGTTATTATATTTTGTGCACTGCCAGGTGTTTACTCCTCCATCTTGTTCCTCAAAGCCAAAGACTTCAGGGCGTCAAACATGTTGTGTGGTGTCTCTGTCTCCTCCAATGCAGCCTTGGCACAGAAGAAAGGAGGGTGGAAGTCCATGGGATTTGAGTTGCCCAAAACCCAGTTGAAGGTGCTTTAATGAAAAGAAAAAAGCACTTTGTGAGAACAGATTATTTGATCATCACAGTTGGAAAAAGACTGTAGGCTGATAACTGGAACTGTAAAAGATGAACAAGAGAATACAACAAGAAAGTGTGCAGAGTCAAATTCAGTGACAGAAAATGTAAAGATTATTCTCCATCTAAAGTTATGGCTGATGGAATCTCTTTATGTTTGATATGACTGATATTCAAATGATGTATTATGTGTACAAGTTTGATCTGCATTGTGCCTGTTTTAATTGTGGTTATGAATCAAAAGAGTCACTTATATATCCTGATAATTGTTTGCAACTTATAAGGACTTTCGGCCCACGCTTGTCATTTAAAGAGATTAAATCAAATTATATGATTCTTTATCCAAACTGTTATTTAAAAAAAATAAAAATCACTCCATATAAAACTGATAGAAAAACTGTTTTATAGTATGGAATTTGATTTTTTAGAAACAAATCCAGTGATACAACTGTTTGAGGTAACAGGATTATTAATATGGGTTGTAGCATTTCATTGAAGTGATCCAATAGTCAAGTCAGCTCAGGTTCTCACCTCACAGTGATCCATCCAGTGGCAGGAGTGTAAGACGTGAAGGTCATGGGAATGCAGCCGATCTCACTGAACACAGTCGTGTACGTGCCTGCACACATTAAGCAGAAAAGCACATGTGATTTGCAGCATTTCTACTTAGTTGTTCATACTGGACTGTTGGACATCAGACAACCAAGAGTGTGCATCTCTCCTTCACAAGATGATCTCATTTGAATAAGAGCACACTGCTTATGAACGAACTCAAAGAAAAAAATTACCAAAAAATAAATTAGTATGGTGTTATTTGATATGATCCACTGATGAATTTCTTAATCCTAGTCATTTTTTCACTTCATTTAACCAAGAATAAAAGTGATAATAAATGTGACAGTTCAAAACACTATGCTCTTGTGTTTGCTAATTACTATAGAGGCAAAAGATAACATTCTAATTATTTATAAGAACTAGTCATAATCACACACCCATAACTGGATGTCTCACTTCAACGGCTGATCCAGCCATTAAAAAAAAAAAAAAAAACAGACATCTCGTTTCACTGAAATGCTGCATCAGCAAGTATTAACAATGAGTGACATATTTTCCTGTTATGAGGAAGCAGGTTGAGTTTTATTTATTTGTTTATTTTTGTCAGAGGGTGTTGGCTTGGTATGTTCAGAGCAAGATTTGCAAAGCGATTAGATGTACATCTTTGTCCACAGGGGGTGCCCAAATCAACTAAAATAGAAGGTTTCTCAGGCAGCCATGAAAACATTTCAGATCATTAATTCATTTCATCTCAATCTGAGATTAATTCTTAATTCAAAGTTTTGATCTCCCTCCTATAGGGTCCACCTCCGGCAAGTATGTCACATAAATCAGAATCAGAATCAGAATTCTTTTTTTTTGTCATTGTACCAAAGGGCGCAACGAAATTAAAAGGTTAAGTTAATGTAGCAAGTTTGAGCCCCATTAAAGCCTACATATTTTCCTAACTGTGGCTTTTCATGTCAGGCTTATGAATAACATCTATGAAGTGCCACAAACCTGTGTTTATTTTCTCACATCTTGGTAAAATGAGACTGATTTACCGGCCTTAAATACAGTGTCTTCTCTTACCATTTCCTGGCAGGTTTCCATACCAGGTGTTGACCAGCACACCCATCCCCCAGGAGGAGGAGGAGCCCATAAACACCTGACCCATGAGTTTGGCATCAGAGGGAACTTGCATGGGAATGAAGTCGTCGCTCAGAAACCTCTTCTTGCAGGTGAATTTGTTCCAGTCAATCTCATAGTAGACTTTCTGACCAATGGAAGGAGAGAAAAAATAATTGACATCCTTAATACTGTGAAACACATTTCCTCAGATATCTTCTTATTCCTGGTGTGTTGTGAAGTTCCATCTTTCCTCCTGATTTATATAATAACCAATGGGAATGTAACATCAACATTTTTATATAACAAGCAACATTAAAATTCCACAGGGTCCTGTGGCATTATTTAGCAAAACATGAAGCAGTTTTATGTACCTTATTGAAAAGCACGAGTTGGTCCACACCAGTCTGGTTGGCAGTAAGTCCAATGGTTCTGACTCTCACCCTCTTACCAATAGCATCATAGCTGACTGTTCCTGTGGTCATAAAGCTGTCTGCAGTCATCTGAAAGGGACACATAGAGCACAGAGTAAAGGAAAGAAAGGCATCAGTGGATCAACAAGAGGTTAGGTTAGTGAGACTTGTGATTGGACTCACCACTGTGAGACCTCCATTCATCAAGGGCGGAGCAACTGTGGGAAGGTAAATTCAAACATTAAGGAAATTAGATCTCGGACAATTTCAAAGAAAAATGGTCATAATCCCCCCCAAATTTTTTTTTTTAAATTAGGACAGTTTGGAGTTTCAAATCTGGCCAGCCTAACAGTCACATCAACATCCTAACTTTGATGACCTTTTTTTGTTTTGCCAGAGGCAGGACTTCTGATTAGATCAACTGTTTTTTTCGGCATAACAACACACCACTCATAACTTTCTTTGCTTTTCAGCACAGCACTCAAGTGGCTTTAGAAAAACATATTTTTTATGAGTCTCAAGATTTAAGTAAGATTTATATGTTGCCTTTCCTTTGTTTTAATTTTTCAAAGTAGTCAAAGAAGCCTCTTGACGTGAGAAGGTTGCGTAGGTGGTACGCTGTTTGAGCAGAGCATGTGTGTTTAGCTTTCAAGGTTGTAGCTCAAAATCTGGCAATTTTATTATTATTACTATTATTGTCATCATCATCATCATCATCATCATCATCATCAGCTTTCAAGGTTGTAGCTCAAAATATGGCAATTTTATTATTATTACTATTATTGTTGTCATCATCATCATCATCATCATCATCATCATCATCATCATCATCGTCATTATCATTATTATTATTACTTTGAGTAAGCTAAGGATGTCCCATGTTGTTTTAAGTTGTACACAAACAGAAATAGAAGCACGAGTGGCTCTAAGTTTTATCAGAACACAATTTTTCTTTTCTTTTTTTCCCTTTTTTCCCTGGTGGTCAGTTGTTATATGGCTGTATGATTCATTGTTATTTAACAGTTGATACTAACCTGCTTTAAAACTACAGATGAACTTGTATCTATTGATGTCAGCACAAAATTAAGTCACACAAACAAATATCCTCACAAGTGAAAGTTGTAGATTGCCTCCGTTGACTCATAACCCGACACGGATTTACTTGTGTTGTTTAATGTTGTATTTTTATCTAGTATTTTGCATGCTAAATTTCAGACCTGTGAGTCTGAAACTAAGAAATAGATAAATACAAAGTTACTTAAAGGATAAAATAGTTCAAGGCACCATATTATAATGTCTTTTAAAAGTAGAGTCTTAATCATTAGTTATTTCCAACTCAAATCATCTGCAAAAAAAGAGGTCTTGTGAGTAAGAGATGTGACCATGAAAGCCAAGCTCGCCATTTATCAGCTTTTCATACTAATACTCCCCTGGATGTTTAAGGCAGGTTCATCTTGGTATGAGTTTAATTTTTCTCTTTCCTAAAGGAACAGTCAAACATTCCCTAGCTTCCACAGAATGCAAAAGCATTCAAACCCTCTGAAGTTTGTATACGTCTAAGTGTCAAACTCACCACAGGGTTTGGGATCCTGGCCGGCAACAGCTGCCAGCAGCAGGCTGAGGCAGGACAGCACCCCAAGGGCATTCATGTCTTTGGGAGAAGAGGAGATCTGAGAGCTGGACGAGGTAACACTGAAGGCACTCGGGTCTGTGGGAACAATACACACCTCCGTATATATATACCTGCTCATAGCTGCAGGTGGCTCAACCCCCTAGAGTTTTTCCTGATAATCTCAATATGAAAAAATCTGATCAAACACTATCAGCCACTCTCAGTTAAAGTTAGTGTTTCAGGTTGAATGACTTTTGTACTTTTGTCACATATTTTTTCATGCTCAAGTGTAGAAGTGATGAAATATTACTTAAATTTCATATTTTCCTTAAGCGTGGGGGTATTTTTATTTTTATTTTTGATTTCCACAACCAATAACAATGGCTAAATATGACATCAACGTTTGTATCAATGTTAAAGGTTCAGCATAATCCATTTCACTCTAGCATGCTATGAAATTCTGAATTAATCGGAATCTTGTAGAAAAAAGATTATTGTTGTGTACAAAACATAAACTGAATATTGCATGATTTATTTGTAGTAACAATGTGTTGTTTCTTGTCCTCAGATGTGCGCTGCCACATTTTTGAGAGTTCAAACAAACCCTCTGTCACACACACGTCTGTTTGGACTGCAGGTGTGAACATTCCCAGGTTACTAAGATAAAACACACCTGTGTATTTCTCAGTCTGCATTTATGTAAGGTACCTGTGACTGATTGGTTTGGTCTATGTTCCCTTAACTATGAGACATTTTTAGGTTTGGAGTACAACATAATTTCGTTACCTGTTAACCCAACATGAACCATAGGATGAAAACCTTTCAGCTTTTAAAAGTGTTTTTAAACAGCACTGATAGAGCCGCCTCCTTTGATTACAGGGTTTCTTGGTGACCAGTTCAAATCAACAGTGTGAGCAGGGTGTGTGAAGGATCATCGTGTTAAAGCTGAGAGGAGAAAGTGAGGAAAAAAAGATGGGGGTCTGTCATGTGTAACCTGCATATCTGGGGACTCAAAGGGTACAACAGCTGATCCCCACCTCTGTCAAAGTGATGAAAACAAGAATAATTGTCATAGTTGAACATGGCAGTCATGCTCATTTCGAGGTAGTTTTAGATATTTTAAGAAATAGTTAACTTATATGGCTTTGGCTCAGTGATATAATAAAAACTCCCACGAACTACAAACCCCAATTCCAATGAAGTTTGGACATGGAGTAAAATACTTTACGAAGACAAGATATTTTCTTTGTAGTGTTCTCAATTAAATACACAACATCTTGTCTTCATGGTATACTCAACAGAATACAGGGGGAAAGGGATTTGCAAATCATTGTGTTCTGTTTTTATTGATGTTTAACACAAACGTCATTGAAATCAGGGTTTGTACACTATAGAAGTAAAAGTTTGTTGACTTTTGCAGTGTTCAGGTTTCCTTAAATAAAATATAATCATATGTGATCTCTATTAAAGGAAGTGTGTCAGGAGGTTAAGTTTGTCATTTTTAGATGTTGTTTTTGATGTCAAATAAAGCTAATAAAATCTATACTGTAAGTGTGCATGTTGAATTGGCCTTTTTTGTGCCAGTTCTGTATTCTGACTAGATAAAACCAGGACAAGTTCATGCATGTAATGATAGTGCAAGCTGTGTAAGTAAAATGTTTGAAATCCAAAGTTTGACGTATAAAAAGAACTGATCTACTCAACCTCAAACATGTTTTAGGGATTAAAGTGAAATGAAACTGCTTAAGAGGACAGAAGAAAAAGACAACACATGGAGTGATGCATATCCTATTTATTTTCAATATGCGTATTAAATTATCATCACTGTTTTAGTTCTTAAGATTCCCTTGACATCTCAAGGAGATTGGCAAGTAATAAACCAAACATCTTCCAAGCAGAGAATACCTCAAATATTTCAGTGCAAAACAGCTAAAGCCAAGTTATTTAAATTAGACAACCCCCCCCCCCCCCCACTCCCTACAAGTTTTTAAAAAAAGAAACCATCTTTGAAAAAAAAACAGTAGTTAATGCAAATAAATAAAACCAAACAGGATTTTAAGAGAGGAAACCCTTTTTTCTTGTTTCAGTGGAGGTTCCCTTGTTTTGCAGCCAAGCATCAACTTACAAATTTCACCTCATAAACATTTACATAAATCAATATCAATATTGTGTACATTATTATGTCATCTTGTTACAATTCTACAAGAGGTCAATATGAATTAAAGTGTTAAATTATCACAGGACAATTTCAGCCCATTCAAAAGTATGGATGACTCAGGGTTTCTGTGTATCATCTAATCAAGACTTCTCTTAATCACATTTGGTTCAAGATTTTTGTCACTCTGTCATTCACACTGTGTTTTCCACAATACACAGGAACACTAAGTAGCGGAAGTGTGACATCTGTGAAAGCTCACACTGGTTTGTAGTGAAGTGTCGGTCATATGATTGCTCCCTTCTCCACAGTCACTTCTCACACTGGTTGAAAAGGCATCATTTTTGATTCCATACAAACAATCTGAACATGACTTTTCACAAATGCATACAAACTCATCCCCTCACCTGAAATAACTATCTGAAATAAGTATCTGTAGTCTGTAATAACTATCACACATTTTCAATATGGGGAGCACATCAAGCTCATTCTGTACTACTGCTGATGACTTTTTAATCAATCAGATAAAAATAAAAAAAGGCCCATCTCTTTTCTTATTAAAGCACTGTCACTGCCAAACCTACCGCAGTCAGTCTTTCATTTTAAATGTTGTGTTTTACAACACTGGTCAAGCTCTGTTCAGTCGACTTTTTTTCTACGTGAACACAGATTTCTCCTCAAGCTTTTCTTGACTTGAATGTCTTTGCTAAACTTTCAGAGCTACAGCTACAGTCTATGTACTCCTTATTTCTCAGCCTAGCGCGCACACACACACACACACACACACACACACACACACACACACACACACACACACACACACACACACACACACACACACACACACACACACACACCCATGTGGATAAGCCCACAAAATAAATGAATGGACCATTAAGTCTGTAAAAACACATCTCATGGAGTGCAATGAAAAATTTCAAACAGCAGACGCACAGAAAGATACAATGATGGACGGGACTTGGCGGCTGGAGTCTTCTGGCCTTTAAAAACATCAGAGTGGATGTGAAGAGTAAAGTGGTCTGTTAGGTAGAGTCTGGTGGACTAGTTTTGGCAGGCAGGGATTCTGGCAATGGTTCAGTTTTGTGTGAAAGCATTTCAAGGAAATATGTGAGTTGTACACCTTCAAGATCTTTCTCATTGGAACTCAGATATTCATTTTTCAGACAGTGGGGTTGGCATGTGATCAGACAAAGTCTGTTAGAGTTTTTTTTTTTTTAAAGAGTTACAGAGGTCGCAGGTGCTGAGTGATGCAGCCAATTCTCCAGGTTAAATAGTCTCTGGACCCTGACATTTGGCCCCTTGTATTGTCTGATCTCCCTTTACTCCCCTGTGGCCCGCTGTCAGGAGTCTGAGACTTCAGACGTGTCACTGGTGAGTTTCCTGCGTTGTCTCACAGACTTCTCCTCATCCTACAAAGTAAAAAAAGAGGGTGATTCAGTCTTTAAAGCCAAAACCTTGAGGTTTCTTTAGATTCTTTTGATGATTAAATATCACCTCTGAATGCTTTTATTGTTATACCTGTGCACAAGATTGACACGTTTTCATTTCATGACACAACTCTTGAGAACACTTTATTTAATTCTTCAGTCTGGGAAACTAATGTATCTACACTATAAAAACACTCAAGTATGCTGTTTAAACTCAGGACAATACTTAGAGAAAAAAAAATCCTATTTATGTTAACTCATGCAATTTGTGAACACCAATTTTTTGCCTTCATGCTGGTATCTGACACCAACAGAGCTAGTCTCCGTCTGTACCGACACTTAGCTGAGATTGGAAAAAGAACATTCAGTTTTGCTGCCATGCCTTTTTTTAAGGCACAGCCTTTTTTTAAATTGTTTTTGTTTCTGCACTGCTGCAACAAGTTCTCACCTTTTAAATGGTTGTTTTTAACTTACTGTCTGTGATTTGTCTTACAATTATGTAATATTTATCAAGACATGTGGTGTTGACCTTGTGGCAGTGGCACCCTTGTTAAAAAGATCGCTGTTTTATTGGATTATCACCCGGTTAAATAAAGGTTAGATAACTAAGTAAATATTAAATTTTAACCTGGTGCTCATATCTCCCCCCAGTTTATAACCCGAAAATCTCCCTGTGGGAACTCACTAGAATAGTTCTTTGTAAAGAGAAAAAGAGTCCAGGGATTTTTGTTGCCTTCATAAGTAATCTTTAACCCCAAATGTTTTTTTCTTTCCTTTCACTGGCACATTATCTAGTTTCTTGTGCACTTACAGTTTGAAAGACTCCATTCTGCCCCCACTCTCCAGGGGAGTGGTCCTCAGGATCCTCTGCCTCTTCCTCCTCTTCTTCTCCCTCCTCCTCTCTCACCGTGTCCATTCCATCCTCCTCGTACTCTGTCAGACAGTCCGACTCCTCGGCTGCACAGAAAGATTTAGAGAGGGCATTAAAGTGAGAATATAACAGGAATGAGCCACAAGGTTTAGATGGCATTCATAAAACATCAGTGACATCTGCTGCTGTATTTCAATATAAAAAACAGTAGGGAGCTTTGACCCATTATTTATTACACTGGTAAAAATCCAAGCTGGAATTGAAGAAGAGACGGCTGTAACAAAAACCTTTACCATGATTGTGTGCTCACCTTCTGCAGCTAAGTAACTTTGAACTGGTTCTATCCTGGAAACAATCTCTGCGAGGTCAGTGAAGTCAGCTCCTGATTGTTCGCCGTAAAACTGTAACAGTCCAGATGGTTGTAGTAAAAAATGCCATTTATCATGTGTTTGTGTGTGTATGTGTGTGTGTGTGTGTGTGTGTGTGTGTGAGATCTCACATCAGTCCTTTTGCTGTCATTATAATCAGCTGAGCGGTGATCCTTCAGCATGTTCTCAATAATGACACCTCGGGCCCAGACATCAAAGAGCGCCTTGCCGTGCTTGAAGCCCACGTTCTGACAAGGTTAGAACAGAAAAGTACTTTTGATTAAGACAAATATTTAGAGGGCATTTTCTGTTTCTGTGACTCTGGATTGGTTATTGTCAATTTTAAAATCTGTGCTAAAATGCAGTCTGTAGATTCTGAACACAAATCCTCAAATCATCCAAGTAAACATTAATCAATGATGCCAATAAATGAAAACCTGACTCTTTGAGAGTAATTGAGGTACTTTCCTTTTCTATGAACAGAAGAAAGAGTAGCTGTTGGGGCGCTCCTAACGCGTGTAGTTAGACCAACATGTTTCCTGCTAAATGCAACTGTTGTGCTCTTTGCCTGAAATGTACTCATTCAACAGCAGCCAGTTCAAATTCAAGATTATTTCAAGGCTTTCAAATTCATTTTGAAACTCATTTCACTTTTAAAAGTGGTTGACCTACACTACAGGCCAAAAGTTTGGAAGCAAGATCAGATTTGTACAAAAAAAGATCACAGTTTCATATATATAATTTGCAACACAATAAACATGACTATTGTGTAAAGAGTAACTTATCAGAAGATATTTTGACTATAATTATTAGGTATTTGAGTTATTGTTGCTTAGACTTTGCTTTCTTTTAAGTAACCTCCTCTGGCTTTAAGAACAGCTTGGCATATACCAGGCATTCGTTCCACAAGTTTTCTAAGGTATGTTCCAGGGATTGCATTCCAAGCTTTCTTAAGTTCATTAAAAAGAGACTGCTGATTCGTGGGACGGGTTTCTTTGACCGATCTATCCAATTCATCCCGTACAAGCTCAATTGAAAAAGGTCTGGAGACTGAGGGGGCCAACCCATCTTTTGAAGAACACCTTCCTCTTCTTTTTTGTCTAGTTAACCCTGACAGAGTTTGGCAGAGTGCTTAAGGTCATAGTCTTGCTGCAAAACAAACTTATGAGCCACAAGTCTGAGTCCAGATGGAACAGCATGGTGCTGGAGGATGGAGTGGTACTGTTCCTTCTTCATGATACCCTTTACTTCAAACAAATCTCCTACTCCATCACCTGCAAAACATCCCCATACCATGGAACTATCACCTCCATGCTGAATTGTGGGTGTAACACATGGTGCTTTCATACGTTCACTAGTTTGTCTGCGGACATAGACTCTGCGTTTTGAACCAAACAGTGCAACCTTGTTTCTAGTCATCATAAGTCCACTCATATCTCATTTTCTTGTTCTGTGGATGAAGTAGTGGGTTTTTTTGCAGATACACAACCCTTCAGACCAGCCTTTCTCAAACGTCATTTCACGGTTGTCAGAGATATGGGTTTCGACCTTGTCATGTTGATTTCCTCCCTTATTTGTGGTCTTTCGCCGATCTCTCTTACTTGTGACAATGCTATGTTTATCCTCTGCTTTTGTTGTAACTCTCTTTCGTCCAGGTCTTTTTCTATCATCATATCTGCAGGTTCTTCTAGTCGCTTCAGAGTGTAGTGGACTCCTTTGTTAAACACCTTTAGGCGTTTTGCAATTTTTCTTTCTGTGTATCCTTCTTTCCTCAATGTAAAAATCTGTACTTTTGTTTCTTTACTCAGTTGCTTCTTTCTAGCCATTTTTGTGGTAGTTTATACGCAGTTGAGATTTATTGGGATTTTTGTATGCAGCCTCTCAAAAGCCAAAAAGTTGAAGTGAATAATCCAACTGTGATTTGTTTTTTTGCTTTTGCACTGAAGTTGTGACTCTTGCAAATGTTTTTAACCCTAAAACTAAGCCTTTATTATCTTTCGCTGACAAATATTAAGCAATAGTCTGTTAACATCAATGTATATCTAAAGGTAAATGGAGTAAAATGGTGCATTTCCATGAAAGCAACATCTGATCATGGAGTAAATACATAAAACTCATGCTGGATTTTAAAAAAAGCAATGTGAACAAAAACTTGAAGTTACTCCCAACTGTCCGGCCTGTAATGGCCTTGCTTCCAAACTTTTGCTTTCAAAAAACAATATATCTTAGCTAAAGGGATATTCCAGTGTAAATTTAAGTTATGGTCAAACACGCCGTAACACTGGGTTAGACACCCCCTCAAGAGATGAATGAATGCTTGCTTCTCTACCAACTTCAGCAACGACTGCGTAAAGCTCAACCAGTCTGGGCATTATTTGTGGCTATACAGTGGCTTTTTGGTTGAGGTTTGTGTGTGGAGACGTAGACTGCTGTGTATTGCTATCGTGCAGTCATTGCTGAAGTTGGTAGTCGGGGGGGTCTAACTCGGTGTTATGGTGTGTTTGACCATGACTTAAATTTACACTGAAATATTCCTTTAAGTAGAAGTCTGGACAAGTCGAGTTTTTCCACAGGAAGATTTGATTTGATTTATTCATCCCACAGGGAGATATGTCTTCGCTGATGTTGCCGTTCATGTCACATCCTTTTAATTTCCCCTTTATACAAACCAAAAGTCTTTATCTTTTCCTGTATTGCTATTGTCTTTTTGAAAATGTCCTTGGAAACAAAGGTAAATGGAGACAAGGCACCTAGGCATTGATCTCTTTATAGGATGAGAAGTGATGTGTTTAAAACCAACTCCTTTTATGACTGCTGGGTTGAAAAAGCTTGTCCTCATGACAGTTTGTATGTGATATTAGATTTGGAAAGAAAAAAACAAGATATCCCTCAGTGACAAAGAACAGTCGATATAATACAATAAAAAAAGAGTAACTCACATAGATCTCATCAAACTTGCCGAAGTCCATGGTCTTAAAGCGGTCGATCGGTGGTCTGATGTACTCACAGTAGGCACTCTTCTTCACAACCTCTAACTGACGAACACAAGACACGTAGGCTAACCGAGATTGGATCTCTGCCATGTCTGGTACCTGCAGAACAGAAGAGAAAGGAAAGAGACATACTTTCCCATCTGTGGAGTCCGACTACAAATCAAAACAATTGAAGCAGCAGGTATGCAGCAGCTTTCAACAGCTGCAGATGCTGAGTCACAAGTAGTTACCAGTGTCACCAAACTGTACTGTTACCTTTACTTTATCTGCCCAGGGATTGATCCGTTTCCACAGCAACCACCAGCCAGACAGACAGTCGCCATAGTTACATAGATCTGTCTCATCTTGGCTACCCACGTCAATGGCGATGACTGTTCTGGCACCCATGTTCCTTGCAATGTCAGCTGTTGGATGTGTAACGTGTCCAACAGCGTTCATAAACACACACACACACACACACACACACACACACACACACACACACACACACACACACACACACACACACACACACACACAGCACAACAGAATCCAGCGGCAAAGATAGTGGGACAACAAGTCAGGTGTTAATACTTTGTTTCAGTCAAATGATCGATTCTTTAAACCCTCAAAACAGAAGCAACACTGTTCAAAAAGACTCATGCCACAAAAAATCATCACTCTTTTAGCAGTCAGATTAACTTGAGAGCAACTGTGTGACTTAAAAATCTGTAAAAAGTAGACCTTCTAGTTGAACAAAGAGTGCCGTCAACTTTTCCACTGACTTGATATGTAAAAGCAAATGTTAGGGTGGTGAGTATTTTTGTGGCATGTGTCTATTTAAAGACAGAACAGGACGACATCCAACAAGCCCAAAGCACTGATCGGCCGAGCCAAGAACTATAAAGGCAGCTGATGGAGCACAAACTCTTCAGGGACAAGGCCCTCGAAAGGCACACAGATGTTGATTTTTACAGGCTCCCTGTAGTCCGATCAATGTTTTGCGCTCAGACACAGCAACGTTTCACAAACATCTAGGATGAGTAGTTTTTGGAGGATAATGTGACATTACTCCAATACTAAGAAGCGAATTATGATAACTCAGCCCAGAAATTCATGAAACATGACTGTTTTATTAGAACAGATTCACTCTTTACACATAGACAGACTCAAGGGGGTTTCATCTGCACACCATAACAAAAGCCTAAAAGTGATCAAGTCTAAATGAAGCCCTCAAAATAATTTAAATTAATTAATACTTTATTAAATAGTTAAGCAATGACCAGAAGATATTATATGGTTCACAGATGAAAAACAGCTCCACTCTCTTTTCAGAAGCAGAGTTCTTGAATTACTCCACCCCTGGTTTTACAGAAGCAAACAAAGACCTAATAAAGAAGCTTTAGTATATTGAACACCAAATGCAGGGCTGGGTGATACAGTAAAAACAATAACTGTGATATCAATAAGGACACATGCTTTACAATGACTCTGCAAGTGGGGGAATTTTTGCATAACCCCCAAAATAACCTTGCTGAAATTTAGAACAGATGTGTTCCGCTGTGACGAGTTACTCAAGTATGTAGTTCAAAGCAGGATTTGCATAAGTGGGCGAACTTTCAGGGTGAATTCTGGGTTATTAGTGCTCATTAGCATCAAGGTACAGTAGTTCACCTTATTAGGGTAGATCACTTTGGTAACTAAAGCTTTACATCTAATCTTTTCCAAAGCAGGAAATGTTCAAGATTAAAGATCCAAAATTGGGAAAAAAATCACCAACCAATAAACTAGCTTGATCTTAGAGCTCTAAAAGCTGATAGGGGAAGAAAGGAGGAAGAGACACCCTTTCATAGAGCTCTAAATGTTGAACTGTGCCTCCCTAAATTCATCATGAACAGAGAAAATAACAGGCCAACATGAAAGCCTTAAAACACTTATTACTTATAAAATGATTATTTTGAATCATGATCTTATATTGAAATGTATTTGTTTTTATCTCCACATCCACTTTGTTTGATAACATCAGAGTTGAAGCTGAAAAATAGCAAGATAAAATGCCAGACAGTTAACTTTAACTTTTGCTCTACATTCAACCATATCGTTTGCATTCCTTATTACCAGATCTTCACTTTGCAAATGCAGCTGTGTTAATTTTAGTCTCGATTATGTGTTCAACTCTATATTTTCTGATGTTATTGTTTGGCCTGAGTTTGTAAAATATGATGATCTGCTGACTGCAGACATTTTCATGTTTAAGATTGGTTATATGTTACACACGGCACCCTGTCCATGTGAACATAGTACCTTACGGTACTTCTTGAAGCAGCTTCTTTCTACTTACTCTGTCAGGATTGGTGAAGCCAGAAAAAAAACAAAAGACACCCAAGTTATATCGAACCTGCTTCATCGTACAGACCTGTAATCTCCCAAAACTAACGGTATTAAATTTATAAAATGTCAAGTACTTGATTTGGACGATCAAAATACTACAAAGATCGAGCATATTAAGGATCTGCAAAAAGAAGAAGAAATAGTAACACTGTGTTACTGCCCAGCCCAACACAAGAGTGCTCATTCAACATAGGGGAAATCACATTTATCCGAAACAGACTGGTGTCTTCTGACTCAAAAAGGCAAACTCAAAGTGCTGTTTCTAAAATAAAAAAATCATCCTTTTTCTTTTTCAATTTGCAAGTGATGCAAGTGATTATCTCTTTTCCTGCTTCTATTGTCCATGTTTTTGGCACCAGGCTGTTTGAGAGATAAATGCCAGATTGCCCCTCTGCATTGTGACATTTGTGTTGATTGATTATTGACTGTTCACGCTCGTTCATTCTCACTATAATTTGAAGAGTTGAATCTTCCCCATCTTGTATTATAAAATATTTTAAAGTTCTTTTTCTTTCGCTAATAAAAGGCAAAATTCTCATCTTTTCTGTTATTAAATAGCGTTGATCAAGACATATTCTGGCTGAACCAGCTCAGTGTGTAGAAGGGGGAACTAAACTAACTCCTACACTCCAGCCTGTTTCCCCTCCCATCACTTCCATCACTCCACATCTACATACTTACCGAGCTCAAAAACAACATGAAATAAACCCCTTCAAATTAATCATCCCAATTCCTATCTCCACCTCCCCCTTCTCTGTTGGGGTCAACAGTGTGGTAGGGATTGAGGATTGCATGTTGAGGGGGGTAGTGGATGGGGGGGTAACCACCACTACTTGCCTGGCAGGTTGTTGATGTAGCCACCGTCCATTAGTAAGTTGCCATCTTTGGGGTCGCAGAGAGGCGGCAGATACCCTGAGAGGGTCATGCTCGCTCGCACATAGCGCCACAGAGAGCCTGACACACCAGGGGGGGAAGAGGGAAGGGAGGGAGGGAGGAGGAAGGGGGATAACATCTCAGTATTGTTTGCTTTCAGTTTCAGGTTAGTGTCGACACAGACCGCGGTCCAGACACCAGAGAGAGTATGGACAAAGGAAAGGAGCCAAACCCTGCAAAGGCCGGAGCTGCAGTTCTGCCCACTTTAAGACTCTGTTGTGCACCACTGCAAACTTCATTACCTTGCACAGAGACCATAAGTGACTTGTGCTGAAGGTAAAAACAGTAAACGGCAACCATCACAGAGCACCAAGGCTGTCGGGATCTCCAAACTATGTCATAAACCTGCACTTTTTGCTTGTGATAGCATGAATTTGACTCTTTCCTGTTAAATACTGTTTGTTTAGGACGACACAAATCCAAAAAAACTGAAGCAGAAAGGCTAGTGAAATGTACCTACAATATTGAATTAACTACTGAGAGAAGCGGTGGCAGATCCTGTAACAATGTTTGGAGATCCTTCACAGTGAACATGGCAGGAGAGCACTCAGCCTGCCCAATTGCAGTCCTGCTCAACACCAGCAGGAGGCAGGGGCAGGCTGGGTGCTGCATGGATTGGAAGGATAAGGAGCACCACAGAGAAAAGCGAGGGGTGCAACTGTGCGTGAAAGTATGTGAATGAGAGGTAGAAATTTTCTGAGCTCAATCAAAAAGGATTCACACCACCTTTTTTTTCAACTAAAAACCAGAAATAACTTCAGCTCATAGTGGGCCGACAATGTGCAAAAGTAGGATCCAGAACACAAATCCCTAAAATCTCATAAGAAGTATAAACAGAGGGAGATACATGCAATCAGTATATATTCATGAGAAATATATAGACTTGGCTGACAATGTTTTGCATGCACAGCGAAGCAAGCAAATTCAGAGGGGACAGCTGTGAGGGAGAGACTGAACATGTGCCTGTAGGTGAGGGTGATTGGAATGAAAAAGGAGCAGTTTCACCAGGACTTCCTCAAAAGAAAAACAAGCTGGTGTTCAGAGCAAAGGACAAACACATTTAGGCCCACTGACACACGCAGTGACACATGACAACAAGAGGAGACAGATGTGATGTTGACATGGTGCAGCCCTTTACTATAGCACATTCAACACTATTTCACAACTTCCCTTTCCTCCAAACACACAGAGCTGTCTGGGCTCACATCTACCATGACCCAATAAAATCCAAACCTACTAAGTCTGATTGACATCGGAGCTACCTGAAAGTCATAACTACTTCTCCATTAAAAAAGCAAGTGCTGTGGTAAATGAAGATTTTTGTGTTTACAGGCCACATTCAGAATTTTACAGATAGAAGGCAAAGTGGAAGGCTTTAGTAATCAGAGGGCTCCAGAAGAAGCCAAACCATCATGCATCTCTCCATGACCAACTGTATATGTGCCAAAACATGCGTGGGTTGAACCTTGCATCTTCTAGATCAAATATAATTGAGTAAAGTTCACGGGGTTTATTCAGAGGTGTGTGTAAGAACAGACAGAAGGAGAGATGGATCCATTTTTCTGATGGGATCAATCCCAATACATTCGTTTGTTTAGGTCTTTCCTTCCAAACCATGGGCTCCCCATGTCCACCTGGTCAGTGCGGGGTTAGTTACAATTGGGCGGAGAACAAAGGGAGGGGGTGGGGGTGGTCACTGAGCAGTGGATCGTTCACTCAGAGATGAGGGGGAAAGGTTTTGGTGAGCGGACATTTAAGATCTGACCTGGGACATTGTTAACATAGCAACCATCCACAAGCAAGTGGCCATCCTTGGGGTCGCACAGGGGAGGTAAATAGGGAGTGTAGGAGGCACTGGCTCTAACATAGCGCCAGACGCAACCTGTCAGGAAATGGAGATGGAGAAGGAGGCACACATCAAGTTTGGGCAAGAGTCCACATCACAGATGGAAAAGATGGAGAGGTGAAGAAAGAATGGATGGGAAGAGACAGAGGAGACCGCTAAAAAAAAAAGAGGATAGAAGACAGAGAGATAGAGTATAGAGAGGGAAATGCCTGCAACATAGAGAAGCATTCTTCAGGAATGAGACAGAGAGGAGGGGAAACAGTGTCAATAGGATTGACTTTGTTGATGGTTTGTGACCAGGTGTGTTTCTAGACTGTTTCTATTGGGGCGCCCCAACTGAGGCACTGATTTGTACAGGGGTGGCATATGGTACTAAAAACAGAAACACACACATGCTAATAACTAGCAATAATTGACCTTTCCTGTCTTTCATGAACACTTATGCCACCAATATTAAGGTATATGAAGAGAAATCACCGACCAGCCAGCCATAACATTACCAACACTTTGGCAACCTGATAATAGACCTGGTCAAATGGTAAACAGACTTCTGCTGATATTATGACCACTAAAAGCACATTCTTACTATTCTTCACATTCACCTATGAACACCACATTCATACACTGATGGCAGAGGCTGCTACAATGAGGAAAGGAGGAGGGTCTGAAATGTATTTTCTGCCTCACTGGAAAATAATAAATGCGTTTTTGTGTCGCATACCGAACATATTCATTCCAGTACATTGTAGTGAAAAGTAAAGTATCATGTCAAATGCAGTCTTGGAAAGAGAGCTGTTGTATTGGGTTGCCAGGTGTTCATAATGTTATGGCAGGTTGGTGTGTTTCTTTGTACAACTTTTCAACAATAAAAAAGTAATACAAAAAAGTGACAACACATGTCTTCTAAGCTTAAATCTTCACATCCTCAAAAGAGGAAATTTAAGGACTAAAAGAAATATCTTACAGACAGTTTTAACACTGCCACAAAAAAGCAGATTCCAACAAAGGTTTAATTTTTGGCCAATCAGGTTAAAGGGATATCCCGGCGTAAGTTTAAGTTATGGTAAAACACACCATAGCACTGAGTTAGACACCCCCTCGAGAGATGAATTTTGCCGACAGCTTGCTTCTCTAGTTATACCAACTTTAGTAATGACCGCACGATGGCAATACACAGCGGTCTACATCTCCACGTGCAAACCTCAACCAAAAAGCCACTCTATAGCCACAAATAATGCTCAGAGCAGCATCTAACTTCATCAACAGTACATATAGGGTCCCAGTCATAGTACTAGCCACCAAACATCTTTTTAGCTTTGTCTGGTTTCATTAGCAAAGAGACTAAACACAACTCACCCACTCCTCTTCAGCATCCGCTTGTTTAGGTAAGTTATGTTAAGTCTCTTTGCTAAAGTACTTAGGCAAAGTTAAAAAGATGTTTGATGGCTAGTGCTGTGGCTGTATGTACTGTTGATGAAGTTAGGTGCTGTTGTGAGCATTATTTGTGGCTATAGAGTGGCTTTTTGATTGAGGTTTGCGCATGGAGACATAGACTGCTGTGTATTGCTATCATGCGGTCGTCACTGGAGTTGGTATAACTAGAGAAGCAAGTGGCACCAGGGGTGGCAAATTAGATCCCAAGGGGACTGCACTTGGTCACCCCTCTAAAAAACTGCAGTACACGCCTAAATAGCTTTTTGGCCATTACCATCAATCTATTTAAACACCAATCAAGGTAGTAGACATGTCTAAAAAGATCACAAGACACCAAAATAATAACGTCATTCAATTTAACTACAATTTAATGACTACAGACCACTGTCCAACTTACCATTTTTAAGCAAAAACTTGTTTTTATTCAGTTGATTGATTTTTTTAAATAACCGTTCCATCCTTGAGAAATTTCAATCTGGATTTAGGACAAACTACAGTACAGAGACTGCACTCCTGAAAATTGTTAATGATCTTAGGTGCAACTTGGACTCACACAAGCTTACAGTCCTTGTGTTACTGGATGTAAGCGCTGCTTTTGATACAGTAGATCACATAATTCTTTTAAATAGACTAAGGCACCTTGTAGGCCTCTCTGGTACTGCCTTTCAATGGTTTAACTCCTGTCTCACAGATCGAAAGTTTCTTGTAAGTTTGGACACATGCTCTTCAAAGATTCATAGCATTAAATGTGGTGTGCCTCAAGGCTCAATTTTAGGCCCCATACTTTTTAATTTATATGCTCCCTCTGGGAGACATCATCAGGAGACATAGTATCACTTTTCACAGCTATGCTGATGACACACAGCTCTACATATCCACGTCTCCTGGTGACACAGGGTCAATTGATGCCCTTTTTAGCTGTATCCTAGATATTAAATCCTGGATGGCAGAAAACTTCCTACAGCTCAACCAGGACGAAACTGAGGTTTTAATTATCGATCCTAGAGCTCAGGGAGAGAAACTTTTAACAAAACTGAAAACCCTGTCCTTATTTCTATCAAATCAGGTAAAGAATCTGGGCGTCATCTTTGACTCTGAGCTGACTTTTATCCCACATATTAAAAATATAACAAAAACAGGGTTTTATCATTTAAAGAATATAGCCAGAGTCCGCCACTTTCTCTCCCTGGCTAACACAGAGACGCTAATGCATGCTTTTTTCTCCAGTCGTCTTGACTATTGTAACGCCCTGCTTTCTGGTCTTCCAAAAAGAAACATTGCGAGTTTACAACTGTTGCAAAACTCAGCAGCACGTGTGCTGACAAAGACCAGAAGGCGGGCACACACTACACCAGTTTTAAAATCACTGCATTGGCTCCCTGTGTGCTTTAGGATTGATTTTAAGGTCCTTTTAATGGTTTTTAAATGTCTTAGGGGTCTTGGACACTCTTATCTTTCAGAATTGCTTTTACAATATGAACCCTCGCGGACCCTGAGATCCTCTGGCACTGGCCTTTTAATAGTCCCCAAAGTGAGAACACAAACTTACGGTGAGGCATCTTTCCAGCACTATGACCCCCGTCTTTGGAATAGCCTGCTGGAAGACCTGAGGGCTGCAGGGAATGTTCATACTTTTAAAAGCAGGCTCAAGACCCACCTATTTAATTTGGCTTTTAACTAATGTCTTATTTTTAATCTATATTTTTATCCTATTTTTATCTTATTTTATTTCATTTATATATTTTAGTCCTCATTTTACATGTTCTGTTTATTCTATTTATTCACTTATTTTTAAATGGTATTTTAGCTATTTATCAGTATTTTATAATTTTATCTAGTTTGATGTTTTTAGCTGATTTAGTTTATGTTTTTATTGCATTTCTTCAGTGTTTCCTCAGTAGGGGGGCCACTTGCACTGGAGGCTGTGACTGGTTCTGTCTAGGGTTTCTCTGCCTCATGGTGTGCACTCAGCTCGGCCAGGGGGTGGTCTGCAGCAGTGCTTGCTGCTGTAGGCCCCTTACTGGCCCTCTGTACTCAGCCACACGCTTTTAAGATTGCATTATCTGTGTGTGTGTGTGTGTGTGTGTGTGTGTGTGTGTGTGTGTGTGTGTGTGTGTGTGTGTGTGTGTGTGTGGTGGGGTGGGGTGGCGGGCTGGATATGGGGGCTCATTGTTTTAAATTGTAAAGCACTTTGTGCTGCATTTCTTTTTGCCTGAAAAGTGCTATATAAATAAATTTGATTTGATTTGAAATTTCTGGAAAAACTATGCTCTAGCAGTCGAGAGTAGATAACATGTTTGTGTCAGAGGACTAACATAAGACATATGAAATAAGTTTGAAAATTGTTATGCACATTTAATGAATGTGTGTTCATTTAGCATGTTACCATATTACAGCAGATGCATTAGCTGTGTTAGATGCCTGGTTGGAGAAGCGAGGTGTGAGGAAGACAAGCAGAAAGAGGAAGAAACAGTAAGAGGGAGCGAGAAGGAAGTAGAGGACTATAAAGATGGTAAAAGAGGCAAAAAGGAGAGTCAGAAGGGGAGGGGGGGTGGAGAGGTTCAGAGGAATAGACAAGAAAGAGGGGAAAACTACAAGGTGAACTAGACAAGATTCACTTATGACACTGTTGAACCTCAACCCAAAGAGGATGACTGCTTTCTGCACCAACGAAGAAGATAGATTCTTAACAGCAGCACCTAAGCAATGTTTGACAAAAGCCCACCATAAAAATAACTACAGGAAGCACAGAATGGATGATGGAGGACGGGAAAAGCACATGGGATGTTATGAAGAAGGATGGAGGAGAATAGCAGGGTGGTGTGTTCTGGATCCTACATGATGGCATGGACATGGGGGGAATACACATTTTGGAGTCAGCCACTACAGCTCTTTAGTCTGAGACGTAAACTGGAGATGCGTAAATGGGTAGACCTAACCTATGGGGTATGATGTGGAACTTTAAGGCACATACTTTATGTGATGAACAAGACGATAATGAAAAAGCTTAATCAGTTCAGCATATGAAAGTGAGCAGACTGTCAAGAAGGAAGAGTTTAGCAGAGTCCGAATAAGAAAGATAGAAATAGACTGAACATTTTCAGAAAAGGGAGTAAGACAGGAAAGGTAGGCAGACACCCAGAAAAAAGAGAAATAAGTGAGGGAGACAGTACAGGAGAGGAGCAGAGGCAGGGATGATGGGAACAATGAGACAGAGCAAGGGCTTTGCTCCAGCAGTTAGTTCATACACATGCCACGATGCAAACATTAGCATTCATGTTCTCTCTGTAAGAACCCAGCCTGCAAACCCCTCTGATCCAGCAATCATGGTCAATCATATCACGATTCAACTCTTAATTTGATGCAAAGTATTGTGACGTTCAAACGCTGCTCTTTAGTGATCATGGTGAAAAGCCACAGGGCTTTGGCAATGGTTTTGCTGGATATGCAGGGTCAGTGGGGGGGGGGGGGGGGGCCTTTTAGGCTAAATCTACTGCTACTAATACTACTAATAGTGGTGCACTTCTACAAGTCAAACAGAACACATTTACCTGCATGATCTATTAACAAGCACATTAACAAGCATGTACTCGTTCACATGCAGTTTTCTTCAGAAAAAACATAGTAATATCTAAATCTATAGACCTAGAAAACTCCAAACTAATGGAAACTGAACAGCCTGCAGAGATTAAATGCTTGTTTCCACGAGGAAATGAAAACATCTAACTGTATGGGTATTATCTCAAAAAAGAGTTTAAGCTCAGACTAGCTTCCCCTTAGTTTGGAGTTAACCTGCTATGAAAATACGAGGGCATGCAGCTCTGCCATTTCAAATGATCTATAAGCCACTTAGATGAGCCTATTGCACCAAGTTGTCATCAAGTCTTGATGCAGCCATATGGGCTTGTTGATTGAAGGGTAAAGTAGAGCTACACATCAAGATTGACTAATAAATTTGACGGATAAAACAATGTGGCTATATATGTGCTTTGACTTGGATTTTAATAGCTGTTTTGTCTTAATGCAAGAATAACTCACCCTTCTTATAATCGAAATAGGAGTTGTTTACAATGCAAACTTCACACGTTAGTTTTTGTCATTAAGGGCAGAATTATTGATTGAATTACATAAGAATTGCTGAGAAGGCTTGATTATTCATGCAATTTATTGTTAATGTTCACTTAGTGTGTATGTATGTATATTTACATGTGCTCATCTAAAAATAAGGTGACATAAAAAGTAAGGTATACTGCTCAGAGCTGGTCTAAACGTAGAAAATGGAAACATTTGGAGAATCACATCAGAGATAACAAAGAAGAGAGGAGGCTGCTGCTGTAGTCAGCCAGGCTGTCACTTACCATCCTGGTGAACCCGCATGGCCGAGGCTGTGATGTCAGTGGTGACATTGAAGTATGGCAGCCACAGGTCCTGTGGACACACGTGTATTTCAATGTTTTACCTTCTGTGGTGACAAATTCAACAACACAACCGGACCACTGCATCCTAAATACATCTTTTCACTTCTGCAATCCCTCACCTCAGCTTGCTTGTCCTGGAACACTTTATAGATGCTGGTGTTGAAGGCAGAGCCAGAGAACATGGAGGTGATAGGATAGGTCAGGTCCAGGACTGTTTTAAATACCGAGTTCATCGCCTGTCAAAGAACCAAAAATACAGATAAAGTAGATTTCAGTCTTTCGGGAAAGCAAGACAGAATTGTCTAAACAGTGGCCAAAGCTACAGTGCACGGTACCTTCGACCACTCTCTGGCTCTCTGTTTGGTTCTGACAGCACTTCTCTCCTCAGCGTATAAAGCTCCAATGAATGAGCCGATTGAGGTCCCACCCACTATGTCAATAGGAATTCCAGCTTCCTCCATAGCTTTGATCACACCCACATGAGAGCAGCCTCTGCAGAGAGGAAAACCAACAGTCTGGTACAATATATGACTTTACTTATTGTAAGGTAAAAGCACAGGGTTTTTTAACAGGACTGACTTCTGTAAATATCCATTTCGCCTAAGCCACAACAAGAGGAGATGATACAATGCTGATTAAGCTGTTCAGCTCCTCTAACCACTCATGGTATTTTACAGTATTTGTTCTTTTTGTATTTGGTGTCGGTGGCGACATTCCCGCGCTGGCTCACAGGAAATGATGCGTTCTACTTGGTTTTACCTAACAACGAAAAGGGAAGGGGGAGGAGAGCGCTGCTAGGAGCAACATGGCAGAGAACATGAGGAAGCAACCAAGAGGTTCAGAAGTGGATCCTACTAAAAAGAAAAAGCCTTCCCATTCGGGAGAAGGTCTGTTGGCAAAGAAAGAGAGTGACAAACGGAGAAGACTAACATGGATTTGCTTCAGGGTCGCTTTTGTTCAATGGCGAGCCCTGAAGGAGGAGATTGGACTGAGGTCTGACACAGATGTTGCCTTGATAATGCTGGATAAGTAGGTGACTGTTCATTACGAGAAAGATGTGTTGCTGTTACATGTACTAGACCAAGAACTTTATTATTTTCTTGGAAATGGTGCTATGAATGTAATGTATTGTTAGTACCCTGATGTTCATCACATTGTGTAAGGTTAGCCTAACGAGCAGCAAGTTACAAGGTGTGTAGCCTGTGTTGCTGTGTCTAACTTACTGCTGGGTGTCTGTGTGCTGTGACGAGTAACTTTAGTAGCCTACATGTTGTGGGAACAGTTACAGTTCGTGTACCCTGGCGAGGAGTTTGCAGTGTGTCATGAGTGTTACTCCGTGTAAAGTGACAAGCAGTATGCTGTATCTGGTGAATGTTACTGTGTGTGATGTGCATATGTCGTACTGAGGTGCCAGCTGTATTATTGTAATAACACAGAAATCCTCTAGGGGGGGGACAAAAGTCACGCACTGTAGCTTTAATTAAGGGTAGCTTCATTGATGTTACATGAGAACATACGTGTATATAATGGTTCAGTTAAATTGTTATCATTACAGGCCACTAGTGTTTCTAAGGGCAAACTGCTCTCCATATTGCTGCACATATTGTAGTTTAGCCCTGCTTACCTGGCTCCCCCTCCACCCAGCACCAGAGCGATGCTGTTTCCTGTCAGGACTCGGGCCAGCCGAGAGAAATCACTGTGTCTGTCCGCTGTTTTCTCAAACACCTTCTCATATACCTCCCTCTGCACAGAGAAAATCAACATGATGGATGGTTAAACCTTCTTTTTGCTCTTTTACATCGTGGAGAGTTGTTTATTTAGCATAATTTCATGGTTATATAGTCAACTTGGGGTCATTTAGTACATCAAACACCAAAATGCAGGACATATGACACATACTGGAGAGGAAAATTTTCATTTAAAACTGCTGCAAATATCATTGACGTAGAATCATACTAGTTTGCTGGGGCTGCGTCTGGAGAAGACCCGTCGAGGACACTTCAGATGTAGATGCCCAGAGCACCAGCTACGCATATTGAGCCACTCGACTGTCCTGGAGGGACCCGGCCCGTCCTCTCTGTGCAGTAGGACCAACTGCTTCAAAGCCCGAACTGCTGTGTTCTCCAGCATCTGCTCCAACTGGAGGACAGGGAGAAGGACCAAAACAAGAGAAAGGGGACCAAGAGAGTTAGCGTACTTATATTTATCGAAGAGATCTTTTTGCTGCTTGAAGCCAAAGACACAAACCTCTCCCAGGGTAGGCTCCTGGTCACCCAGGCCGACAATGAGGATGCAGTCAGCCTGACGGATGCAGCGCTGAGTCCATGGGGTCATGCTGCTGTCTGTCTGGTACAGGACAATCCGATTAATATCCTCCTGCTGGGCCAGCCAGCCGGAGAGGCGGTACTCATGGATACTGAAGGAAACAAAAGAAGAGCAGTAGCATTTTAATCCCCCAAACTGTGCAAAGAGTGAAGAGGATGACTGGGAAGTGATAGAAAAAAAGACCATAATATCTACTTTGGTTAGTAGTCCAAATGATTACGATCAGCAAGAATAAAATTTAACTGAAAGAAAAAGGTTCAGAAAAGTATCAAGACAAAGACATCTTTTTTCTGATTATAAAACTGACCTGTCCAAAACAGAAGCACCCAGTCGCTCTCTGATTATGTCACTGGTTAACAGTTGAGTAGGACCTGCAAGCATCAAACATCGGAAGAATGTCAAACTTCCAGATGTGTTTCTACATTTTTGTGAGTACCATTAGACAAGGACTTCTTTAACTTAGGACTGCAACAGAGAATTTATAGTCCCAAACAATTTCAGCCTACCGATGGCATTGAGAGCATGGCTGAGCTCCAAGTTGAAAGCATTAATTGGCACCTCATCACAAACAGGCAGGACAGCCACAGTGGAGAGGTTGCTGGCAGGGTTGGTGACATCAGCACTGGTTGTCATACTGGGCAGACTCAAAGTTGAACCTGAAGACAGATTTCCTGAGTGTGAATAAACTCATTTCTAGGTGAACTGCATCAGAGTGGACTAAAGGCGCTTTATCTACTTATGTGTAAATGATACCTTTCTTACAACTTTTTTACCTGAGAATGGCCCACGGCCTTGCTGCAGGTTCCCCAGAATCTTCTGGCCTAACAAGTGGATCAACCTTGTCACCACCTAAACAGACATGGAGCATCAGCACCATTTTCAGCTTTATATACAAGTACAATCTAAAGCAGATCCAGTCACCAACCTGAGGATATCGTCTTTTGATGTTGTTGAGTGTTCCCTCAGGCAGTTTGACCAGCTCTGTGTCTCTCACAGCGTGAACAGTGGTTGCTCTGGGCTGCCTGGTCAAGGCCTCCACCTGAAGAAACAGACAGAACAACAAGATGTATCACAACTGTCAAAACATAATCAGCATAAAAACAACAATACAAAGGTGACTTTCAAGATGTATAAACAGGTTTCCGAGCAACATTATCACAGGTATGCGCACGCAGCCAGGGGGCAGAAAGCAGGACATTTCTTTTTTGTTTACTAGCCGAGTAAATTGAAAAATAAAATGACAAGGACTTGTTGTAATGTAAACTGCACGAACCGGCAAAAGGATGGATGGAAACTGTTTAACATCCCGAGGGGATCTCATTTTTTTGCCAAGAGGAGAAGAAGATTGTGGCTCCAGGCCATTAAAAGAGTGGATTGGGGTCCTGAAGGTGCAGACATCATAAGGTTTTGCCTTTACCCCCTGTCTCTGGCTGGGCAGGACACCTGCTCTCAAAGCACAAAACCCTGACCTCGTGTCATAACATTTTAAATTTTGGACATGGGCACAAAGTACATAATTAAACGCATCCAAAGATTTGTATGCACGCTACCTGTCCTTTGTGTACACACTCAATTAGATAATTTTATATGTCAGGCCATATCACAGCTGGCCATTTGGACATATCTGCAATCCATTCCTCACTTAGAATATTATATGGGTCTGGTAACTTCTCACCACCGCCGAGGACAAGTTTGTTCAGGTAATCGGTGCAGTCTGAGCTGCTGAGGCTGTTGATATAATTGGTCTGAGCCATCTCTGTAAAGACCGAGCTAACGAGCTGTCAGACTTATACTTACAGTGACATTGGGTTTTTTTTATAAATCTTGGCAGGTCCAAAAGTAGCCTTGCCCTAAACATTTTTACTTTGGTTTTGTTAGCATTCACTAACATTACGAGACCCCGCTGCTGATATTAGAAACATTCAAAACAATGTCACAACCCGGTAAGATGAGTTAAATTCATGGATATTTCAGCAAGTGTTTTTCTGATTTGTGACGCAATGAAAGACAAAGCAATTTTTAATGAAATGACATTTTATTGCAATTGTGTCAGGAAGAACTTGCAAACAATACGGCATCTTCATTAAAATCAGTTCACTCCGAAGCAGGCTTTTGCCCACTGGTTGCGCACGCACCTAGTATTGTTTGTACACAAGACACCCATCTATAAGACAACATAGACTCTTTATGTAACCTCTCTCATCTTAATGTTTGGACAGTTCAGATGCATGAGAGAAAAGTTAGCTTCTGCTGATGACGGATAGAGTCATGTACTTACCACTCCAATCAGGTCTCCTCTACCATATTCCCCCACCAGTTCTTTCTTGCCGTTTGCCTTGCGGATGACTGAGCGCAGACGTCCGTTCAGAACAATGTAGGTACAGTCTGACTGGTCATCTTGTCTACAGAAATGGAGAAAGAAAATGAGTATACTAGCAGAACAAAAAGATGTCACATTAAGACATAATAACCAAATATAGATTTCTCAACAGAGGTACCATCGGAAAAATGAGAAGAAAAAGGATCCAAAAGAAGGCAGAGGTGAAATACCTGTAGAGGGCTCTGCCAGCCTCCACAGCCATCCAGTCAATGGCAAAGTCCATCTGCCTCACAAAGGGGGACATACGAATGGCCACTGTGTGAGCCGCACTCAGCACTACACTGGGCTGCTCCCTCATGATCCTGCAGAGGGCAGCACACATCAAGGACTAAAATTAATGACGCATGGTCAGACTGAGCTGTGTGCCTGCTGAAAGTGGTCCATAAAACAAACACTCTTGTTTTCCACACTGCAAGTAAAAGACTCACTCGTAAAAATCGGACTTTGAAATCTTGAGGTAAGTACAGTCCCTGATGGCCTTGATGGTGAAGATGAGAGGCTCTCCTGTGAGCACAGCGAGCTGGCCCACCATCTCTCCTGGGTGAGTCACAAACAAGCAGACGTCTTCCTGTTTGTTTATCATGCGCTGGTAGACGTGCAGACAACCAGACAGGACAAAGTGCAGACTCACGTCCTACAAGAGTGAAAAGAGGAAGACAATCAAAACAAAAACAAAACAAAACAAAAAAAGGCAGAAGAGAGAGTTTACTAGATTTGCATGAAATTTAGTGAATTGTCTAAAGGTTTGTGAAATGTTTCAAATGTGAAACTACAAAATTCATATTCACTTTAAAATGAAGCACCAAAGTTATTTACACACTTTAAGTCAGTAGTAAGTTTGAGGTCAGTCAAACCGGATCGTGTCAAAAAAGAAAGAAAAGACAACCCCCCCCCCGGAATGTTATGTTGATTTTTAGTGTGGTGACAATCATATTAGAAAAGGCATCTTGTTTTAAAATACCTGCTGCCATTCATATCTATTCTACATAAATATGGAATGGAAATAAATGGAAATTCAAAACCATGAAGAAAGTTGATTTTCACAAACACAAACCAAAATGTGTCACAGCAGCTTTAGCTGGTCAAAATAAAGTTACAACATCTTTCTCCAGCACCTGCAGTTCAGTAAATGTATGTCCTTTTTGGTAACGCAGGAGTGTAAAATTCATTTTTATGGATTCAAATAATTCAACTGTATTTATACAAAACATAAACCTGCCAGGCTGAAAGTTTAAAGGGAACTTAGAAGTCCAATCAGAGTTTAAGACGCCTTGTATATACCTGGTCTCCCTGTCTGGCTAAGACAGCCCCAGCTTTTGCATGATGCCGAGTCACTCTCCCATTTAACAAGGATGAGTCCTGGATTTCAGACAGAAAACATACAGAGGGATAAGAGAAGCAGAGAAAAAAGATCAAGTCAATATGAAGACACAAGCAAATGAAATGACTTCATAGGTTTGTTTTTGTATAAAACATTGAGCTGCAGCTAAAAGCTGCAACATCTATTTCATTCACCGCACATAGATCCGGTTACACCAGCATTAGGTTTTAACATGGTGGATGTAGCAGTACAGGATGTAGCAGTACTTGCACAAACACGGACAGAGAGGGTTTACCACAGATTTCATCAAACTTGCATTTACAACTTCAAACTGTAGTGTGTGACTCAAAGAGAGATTTCAGGCTGCATGAAAATAACAGCAAGTGTCTCATGTAGTCCTAACTCTGGACACCAATACAGTGACTAGCAATTACTAATCATGTGTTTCCAAAGGATTTTATACGCTGTCATGCCCTCTTTCTTACAAATGACCAAAGAATAGCTCTTTTCAAAAACTAGCCATTGTAGCCCCCCTCACCCCCCTAAACAAGTTATATCCAGTTTTCAACTGGCTGACCTTCTTTTACATCATAATCTCTCAGCAGATGCACCAGGGTGATTTGTGACAATGTGCTTAGTCATGCAAAAAATAGAACAATAAAATGAGCCTGCTACAGTTTCTTCATTTGTCTTGAAACCTGGTTGGAAGAGAGATACACTAACTCTGGGTTTAAGCTCTGGTGTACATGCAACAGCGTGAGTGCTGCGGCTAAAGACAAGAATCATTTGATCAAATGGAAATAGACTAAGTCCAGTAAGAGCGAACAATATTGGTGATTTGTACCATAAGCTTTCATGTTTTGCGAACCATAAAATCCAGTCTGAGATGGTCGCTCTGTCTTTGATGATGTTTTTTGCTCTGGATTTTGCAGCTAGCGTAATTAATGTATTTTGCTCTTTGTACACAGATGTGACTGATACTAATTTACATAAAGACACTGGGAAATTCGATTTGATGCTGGAGTTTAACTCAGACTGAATAATGTCGTTGCTGATTTGCTTTCATTTACCCTGAAATGATAATATAATTGGTGTAAATATGCATGTAAAAAATGTGTATTGAACAAAAAAGTAATGATTTATGTTATCTTAGGTGCCATGTGGTGTCTCACTGCATTCAAACACAAAGACACATTCATTATAATTAAAAACAGTTACACAAACCTCAATTTTCATAAGTTTCAGGACTTCTTTCTGTCCTTCCTCAAACAGAGTTGTACTGCAGCGACTGGGTGTAGGTGCAAAAATATTGTCCACCACCACCTCCTCCTCAGGATACAGATAGATCCCAGAGGGAACCTCATCCACTGTAACCTTCCTCTCCCGCTGGTCCTGGGATGTAGACTGAGAAAATATTCATAAAAGGTCATTTTTTATTAATCTCAATCTGAAAGTGTATTTGATCTAATATTTTCAATCTTTTCAGGCTCTCTTATCTGTATATTTGTCAGAGAAACTACAACTGGATCACTCTGTTGTCACTCATGCTCTGTGGAAACTTTGTATCTGATCATAACGCCTCTAAAGCTGCTGGTGCAAAACCAATATGACGAGATCAACAAAGTAAACCTTCAACAATTTGCGTCTCAAGACTCAAAACTGACCCGGGTAAAAGTAGGTGGAGTGTTGCCATCCTCTGCTGAGACAGAGATCCGCCCCCTCTCATATGCCATGTCAAAGTCTGATCTCAGACTTTTCTGTATACCTGCAGAGACAAAATGTTGACAGTATGAACCAGAATGTGATCACTGAGTTGGAAAGTTTGCAACTTGATAGATAGATAGATAGATCATGATTTCTCATAACAGAAAAAAAGCTTCTTACCGGCAATGTCAACAGGCATGGAGATGGTTCTGCTCAGAGTTGGCATTGTTGCTCCATCCTTGCCTTGTTCCCCTCCTGTACATACACACACATGCACACGCACGCACGCACACACACACACACGTACAAAAAATAAATAAATAAATAAACAAGAGATTCAGCCTCCAGCATGCAGATAATAGAAAAACAGACACTGAAGAAAACTGAGGTTTCATGATGATTCTCTATCAGGTGTACTCGATTCAAAACATTGAGGTGAGGTTCCATTTTCTTGCTCTTTCAGACTGCCTTTGACTGTGCTCATAAAGTTGTTCACTGAAACTCCCAAGTAAATCATCCTGTTGTCATTGTCTCTACAGTGTTTTCCTTCCTACCTGCAGCTTCTCCCTTAATGGCAGCTTCTCGATGCTCCTCAGGCACTGTCAGGCTGCCAAAGCGTTTGCCATGGCGGATTGGACTGGTGCGTGTCGGGTGGGGAGAAGGAGGTGGCAGACGTGAGGGCTGCATTTCCTTTTTGGATATCAAATATGAGTGGTTAGAGCTCATTTGTATATATGTTGTATGTGTGTGTGTGTGTGTGTGTGTGTGTGTGTGTGTGTGTGTGTGTGTGTGTGTGTGTGTGTGTGTGTGTGTGTGTGTGCGCGTGTATAAGCAATTGGAAAAAGTGACACAATGACTATGCAAAGTCATGGTATTTGAGGAGAGTTTGGGGATAGCTCTGACATAAAAAGACCAGGGGTGAGGGTGATTTTCGAAATGAAGCATGTGTCAAAACTCTTAGTTGTATAATCAAAAAATCAAACATTTTTCTTCAGCTATCAGTGGACTTTTCCTACTTTCATGCGGTACAGTTCAACCATATTCTGTCTTTTGTAATGCTAAAGAATACGAATATCACACAATATCATGATTACATGACTGAAACATAATACAAAGTGTGTGTGTAGAGAGATAATAATGCACAATTCCTGAAAAATGCCAAACCCCATTACCAACAGATGTTTGCATGGGGCTGTCTGGTGTGCTGGGTGTGTTTTAGGGCTGCACGATTTCAGCCAAAAATGAAATCCCCTTTTTTTTTCTCTGAAGACTCAATTTTTAGATTTCGATTTTTTTATTCAGTGACAACTTCATCCACTTAAATAAGTTTTACTATCATCTCTCAAGACCAAACTACCAAAAACATATGCCAAGACAGTAAGTTGTGCTGTAAGGCTGCCGAGGAAATGCACAAAAGACAGAAGAAATGTATAGAGCAAGCTTGTTTTACCATTAAAGAGTTACGCTGTGACATACTCGTTTTAAAAGATGCAGATAGGCATCCATAAGAATATGAAATGGTAGTTACAGATTTATGTACTCTACGACCGGTTTTAAAAAAGTACCTTCAACAGTCACCCGAAACACTGTTTTTGAGTGGATGAAATGCCAGTATGACAAACACCGTTTGCGTTTACTCCTGAATTCGTTTACATGTGGACGAGCTGATACCGCCTTCAGACAGACTTCATAGGGAAGTGGTTTTGCTCTTCATCCAAAACTGTGAAGCCGTACAATTTCCATACAACTGACTCTCTCTTGTCCTATTTAGCCATGAAATTATCACGTTCTTTTGCAAATGCCATGTTTGTATACACTGGTGTGTCTGAGAACTTGGGAGCACTCCTGCAGGAAGGGGGAGCCTGCGGTGGCCTGGAGGCGCAAGACATGATAAAGAGGAAAATCTATTTTGACAATATTAAATTTTTTAACATAGTCATAATCAAATTATCAGATTTTATAAATCGTGCAGCTCTAGTGTGTGTGCGTGCGTGCATGCGTGGGTGCGTGTATGACATACTCACATGGCTGAAGAGCTCATTGGTGAGCCCTAGATAATTGTGCAGAGCCAGGACTGTTACTCTTTGGAGACGAACCATAATAATCTGACCAGGATACAACAGGATGAGTCATTTTACTGACCACAGAAATACAAAGTGACAGACGACTTCCTCAAAACCATATCAGCTATGTGACTGCATGCATTCTTTTTATAACCATGAGTATTGCCAAAAAATGCAAAAATATTCATATAGTATAAAGTAAATCCACAGAATTAAACACACAGTTTACCTGCACTACTCGCACCAGGCTCTCTGGGTACTTCTCAAATATCGAGAGGAAGGCTTCTACGGGCAAACGCAGAACAGTGGACACCTCTGCAGCCCGAGCCAACACTGTTCTGTAAGGCTTCTGGTGTCCCTATACGGAAAGATCCCAAAGAATATTTAAGGAGGCACGGTTTCATATATATTGAGTGAGAAGATAATTCTAGTGGACAACAATAATCATGATTTGTCCACTCAATGGAAAACTTTTAAATTGTTGTTTTGAACTTGATATAGGTGTAACAGTGCCATCATGAACATGCCGTGTAAGAGGGTCTAACGAGTCATGGGATAAGTCGATGAGTCAGGTGGCCAATGACGTGAAGAGAGAGAAGGTGGGTGCAGTCAAACCAGACACTGATAGTCAGGAAGTATGTTGTTCAAGATGAGTCATGGGATTGTGTGTGTGTGTAGGGACCATGTGTGGTGTGTACCCCTTGTGTGGGTGTGCCTTACTGTGATGACATCCAGGATGCTGAGGAGGCTGTGGACACTGTCGCCTGGGTAAACCTCCTTCACCACACTCTCTTTGCCATCCTGGAATGTGTAAAAAGATAGTTGTTGAGGTAAATAAACAAGTAACCTAGGTAGATAGGATAAAGATATACAGGATAGTAAGCCCTTAATTGATATTTCCATCCCTCTTCATATTGGGGTTGTTCCAACAAGGGTACCTCATGATTCAAATCGATTATGGGAGCTTCAATTCTTCAATTACAATGATTGTCGATTCGATTTGATTATTGGTGCCACAATTCTTCGTTTATTGCCATTTTTGATGCTTTTTTCCATACAAGATTGATTTTATCCTCATCTGTGGCTACATTTGTAAATAAATAGCCTATCAATGAACTCAGTTACTCTAAAACTACACTCAATAAGTACAAAAATAACAAGGTTTTTTGAACATTTGACTTGCATTTTTCAAAGAGACAAAATATTTTTTTTCATTACTGTTTGACTGTTATGTAAACATTTGCACTTGGACCTACTTAACTTAAAACTGGAAAGTTTGGAGACAGTCTCCAGGATGGTCCTCTGTGTAGCGGGAGGAACCTTCTCTGTTTCGGGATGAAAGCGTACAAGGCGCTGCCTCATGTTTGTGGTGTTAATGCTGAGGTACTTTACTTTTGCTTTGCAAATCTTGCAAATTGCATAGGTCTAGTCAGTTGTCTTTTTTGCTTTCCCATAAACTTGAAAGTACTTCCAGACGGTTGCAGTCAACCCTGGTAGCGAGAGAATCGGCCGCTCTTTGGAGGCTGCTAAAGCTGTTACCATTTTGCAAAGAAACTAACATGCTCTGTTTGCTGTGGTCCCACTCGCTAAACAGTCCAGGCGTCACACGTGTTAAGGTTCCAGTTACATGTTTTTTTGTTCCGGCCTTACAGTAAAGCATCAACGTTAATTAATGGATGAGGAATCGTCGCGTGAAGCATCACAATGCATCGACACATAGATGAATTGCACCCACCTCTACTTTATACTGTAAAATACCTTTTTGCTCTTATTTGTTGCAATAATATCCTGTTAGTTCCCCACAGGGATTATCGAAGTCAACTGTTGATTAACACAAACACTGTCAAAGCCATAGTTAAGCCCCTTTAAGCTTGCTTACCCTTGTGAGTTGAGCTTTTACTGCAAAATACTTTGTTCATAATCCTCAAGCAAAAAGAAAATACTTCTAGGATATAATTCACAGCTACTATAGAAAAAAGGGCTTGCATGCACACATGAGCTTGCATACCATTCCAGTAAGGCACAGTTCGAGTTTTCCATCCTGAACCACGTAGATGCTGTTGTCAGGCTGGCCTGGCCTGAAGACGTACTCCCCTTGTTGGAACTGCACAAACACCATGTGCTTACACAGCTCCAGGAAGAGGGGCTTCTCAAAGTGACCCAGCACACTGCAGTGGATGACAACACAGGGTTTAAGACATATTTGTTTGCAGTTTGCAACCCCTTCTCAGCAGAGACACAAATCTGGAGGTAAAGTCTGTGGGAGTGATCATTGCATTTTTGCAAGAGTTACTTATCAATCCCACTCATCATCTTAGCCATGTTTAAACATGTTGGCCTTTTGCAAGTTCAGTCAACACCACTTGAATAGAAATCCAACCCACCGGACATTTTTCAGCATGTAGAGCACCTCAGATGGGAGGTGGGAATTGGCCACATCAAACTCTGTGAGGTCAGCCTCCAGCACCGAGGGAGGGGGCTCCTTGGCCTGTAGGGTGGGCACCTCCTTCTTAAAGCGCAGGATCCTACAAAGGAGAAGAGTGAGAATAAGACGAAGAAATAGCAAAGAGTGGCAGTGAACTGTTCATGCCAGTGACTGATTTTAAACTGAGATTGAAACTGGGTTTTTGATGTACTTTTTGGCAATGTTGAGCATCTTCTGCTTCTTCTTTAAGCGTGGCCTTGAGGACGAGGATGTACCCACCAGGGAAGAGGTAGACTGTGAGACCTGTTGAGAAACATATTATTTTAAAGAGTAGTCTCCAGACTGCTGCTCTTGTGGATAAATGGAGTCAGGGGTAACCTCAAAGTATAACTGTTTTCTGTCAAACACACTCACTTTGCGCATGATCTTTCGCCCGTAGAACATGACTTTGTCCCTTTTGCGAAAACGGTATTTGGGGGCCTCCTGAGCTTCTAGGTCTGTGACATACAAAGAAGTGAAGAAATAGGTATAGAAATATAAATACACACATCTTGTATGTAATTACAAGACTTTCATGCTGTGCTCTAAGGTCATACTGACTTCGAAGCTGTATTCTTCGCAAGATGAAGAATATAAGGATCGCTATGAGGACTATGGCGATGCCCGCACCAATCACCATCCCCACCATCTGAAGAGAAGAGGAAAAGAGCTCATGTGTATCCAGGTTGTATAAAGACACAATGTTAAACTAAACTGTGGCTCAAACTCAATGAAATGAAATCCACTTTATTTAAATGGTACAATAAACACAATGAGGTTGATCTAAAGAGCTTCACAGCAGAGGAATGAAATGAAAGAAAGAAACACCAAACACTAATAGACACTGCAATAATCCTGATCAAATTAATGGTGTTGATCTTACTGTTTTATGAATGATAACAATGACAACAACTATAATTATCTTCACTATGACCATTACAGTGACTATCACTATGACGATTATTACTGTCATCATCATTACTACCACAACTACTATCATCAAGACCATTATTGTCAATATCACCATTATAGTCAGCTGTTAAATGAAGCTGTAGATGACTCAAAGTATCAAATGTGTGACATTTCTATTCTTGTACTTCCTGAACATTGTTCAGCTAAATCTTACATTGTTGTTGTATAACACTCTCTTTTCCTGCAGGGAGGTTTAGCCCCATACAAAGGTCAGTATTTTGACCCACAGCAGCTTCTGCCAACATGTTAAATATTCTTGAAAAAATGACTTGAACATGAATTTGGACTCAAAAGCCAGCAAATGTCTGTGATTGGTAGGTTGATTGGCATGGCACACGATATTACGTAAATTTGAACAGGAAAACGTGACATGTGACACAAAGAGCCTTGGTTTGACTGATGTCTAAACAGGGATGGTGGAAGTGTAGCTCGTTTATGGTGAAACCTTTGCTTGAAATGCAACTTCCTGCAGGGGTGAACCAACAGCAAATGCAAAGTGAAAAGGACTTAATCTCTCAATGAATCCTCGCCACACACTTACCATGCTTGTCTGTAGTTCTTCCTCCACAAACGACTTGAAGTTATTGAACCCGTCCTGATGTAACAGAGAAAAAGATGCTTTTTTAACCACAAGCTTAGATATCCCTCCAAGAAGGGGGGGTTGCTTATTGTGTTTCTGACATTTATCAAGAGTGAAATGCTGAACAGGGCCTAAAGGCTTCACCTCCACTGAAGTGTAATGGAATGTGGAAATAAGAGATTTGCCCTCGAGGCAGACATGTGTGGATATCAGAGTGGTCAAGGATGAAGATATGGCATCCAGTGGTGGCCTTCACACGTGTGTCTCACAAATATGTTTCCTAAGTTTTAACTTTTACATTGCTCTCCAGAGTTTCACTCATTCTTGTTTTGCTACCTGTGAGTACTTTAAGGGGGGGGGGGGGGGGGCTCTGAGCATGATATCAGCACGAGAGGGCAATTAAACATATATTATGTTCAAAACCACCGGATGTTCAATCTTCCTGTCATCAGCAGGTCTCCAGCTGGTTGGGTGAATCCAAAATGATGAAAACAAGGGGGGGTCTGAGACAGGCTGTTAGCTTTGAAACAGGGTGCTCTGAAAACACCTCTATTAGCACTTGGCACGTTCCTCCTGAGGAAATTAACCATAGAATGTAAATTGACCAGGAAAAAAATCGAGTCGACCAATCAGAATTTTGGTCGACTCAGCATGAATCGACCACTAGGTCGACCCGTCAATTAGGACTTCACAGCCCTACGAATAACAATGGATTAAATTAATGTGTCATAAAAGCAGGAGCAGACTTGATGTGGAAAGATAAAGATGCCGCCAAAGAGAAAAGAAACAATCAGATTTGGAGAGATCTGGAGTCTAAAGTCTAAAGGTCAACCGACAAGACAACCTGTAATGTATAAAACTGAGCCAAGTACTCTTCTAATGGGATCCAGACAGTCTGCACTGGCCTTAAATTCTTTTGAATATCCCACCCTTGTGTGGCATGGCTGTATTTATGTCCCCACATAGGGATGTCAGTAATAATATGGTCCACAGCTGGTGTGAGGGGATGTAGCTTCCCACCAAGATGTAACAGAAACAGACGGATCTTGAGTTTGAGTGAGACAGAAGAGACAGAAAGCAGTCGAGCATGAAAGAAACCCTGAGAGAGAGAAATAAGAGGGAAGCATAAAAAAGGAAGTTGCCTCTCTGTATTCATCATCAGCATTGTCTCTCTATGTACACAGCAGATAAACACTCAAATACTCATAGAAAGTAGAGTCTTTCTTTCTTTCCTTTAAAGATCAATTCAGTAGACCCTTATCAGTGAATCCAGAGAGGAACTCTTTCACTCATCAAAACAAGATGATCAATACAGGGAGTGGAAAGATCCCTCAAGATAAGCTTGTTTGTTTTACTGTGCGTGCGCATGTGCCTGTGTTTGTTTGGCCATCAGACAAAGTATTTTAAGAGCAGGGGTTATGTGTTTTTAGTGTTCTAGCTGACAGCCAATAAGGCTCCATACCTGATATCTGTGGTTATTGATTAGTGTGTGAGAAGCTAAGGGTTATTTGGCAGTAAAAAGCACTGAACACTAAAGATAATGACAGTCGACCTGACAGATGGATGATGAAGCTGCTGAAAACAAAATTTAGATTCAAGCTAGAGGCTTCAAAAAGGCACAGTGGAGTTTGGAAATCAAAGCTTGATTGTTTCAAGTCTATACGTGTGTGATTTCGAGTCCAAAGCTGAGTTAGCTAAATGCATCACTAAAAAAACAGCAGAAGCCTGCAGTCTGTATGAAGCTGGTAGACTGAGTGTCAAAAACAGAGTTTCACAGCAGGACACAGACAAACTCTTTTTTGTGTCAGATTCTATTGACCAAATCTAGTCTGATGGATCTGAACTCTGTAGTGGAGTTTTAAATGGAACTCAAGATGTTTTGTGATGAACAGCTTTGGGCAAAAGGACTGTATTTGGTTCACTAATTTTCAGAGTTGGAACAGCAATGTAAGGCTAGAAAGAAATTTAATAATAAAGACAGCATAGTCTCTAAACTGGATTACACGGGCATGCCAATAAGCTGAAAAGAGACAGGAGATGTGGAAACTTTACTAAAGGAAGCTCAAAGACCCTCCCCACAGGAATAAAAAAAGCTTGAACATGGAAAATCGTGACCTAAGAAGGTGCTCTATTGAACTATTCAGTTTATATGAGAAAAAGGGTCTGTAAACCACATGCATGTGACCCATGTTGGTAAAGGTCACACTGAGTTTGATCTAAGTAAAGTACATTGTTTGCTTTTAAAAGTCATTTTCGTGTCTGCACTGAAGTACAGGGAAACTATAATCAGTGCAGCCAGCGTGTCATTTCCACTGAACACTCAACCTGAGAGTATTTTCCTCATTAGCTGATAGGAGATACCAGTGCAGGATGCTGGCTGGTGGAAAGCTATGACTTACTTTGAACTGGACCACCACAGCTGTCCACAGATTAACCCACATCTACTGAAGCACTTTCCCACCCACTGGGTGGCAAAAATCCTGTTATATGGCCACATTTACTGTATGCATGCTTTTATACTTTCATTGAGCTGAATTTAAATTAATAATCAGGAAAATAAAAACTGCAATTGCACCAACCTCTGTGAGACTGGGGCTGTCTTCTTGGACCTCTTGTTCCGAGGTACTCTGACCCATTGTAACCCTGTTTCTTCATAGGGATGGTCCATCAATCGCCACTGAAAACAGAGATATTTTCACATGTGATTTACTCAAGGGAACGGGTGGGTTAACATTCAAAATCGAGAGTATTCTAGATACTAGACTTTATCTAGAAGGGATGTTTCAAAGGAACATATTTCTGATTGATTTAGACGGATAGTCCAACAGTCAGATTATTCTGAAGAGCAGTCAGAAATCAGCCATTGAGCCCAATTTATTCAACACAGTTATTCAATTCACAGTAGAACAACTGTGAGTTCAAAACCTACACACAACTCTACTTTCACTTCCCAGATCCAAAAGTTGCCCCAATACTTGTCTAAATCCAGGCAGTACAGTTTATAGCCTTACAGTATTATAGCATAAGCCATGATCAGAGCTACAGCCTCAGCCTCAGGCAGTTGACTATTCTACAGCTCATTTATGACATGTGACCAGCATTTTTGGCTCACAAAAAATAAACAAATAAATAAACAGTGTAAAGAAAAAGCAGTACCTTGGGCTGGGCAATAAGATGGTGTTGATATATATCAAAAATTTATTTCCCTCGTTAACGATTTAAAACATGGTCAATATGCTTTTCAATAGTCTGCATTCTGACATGTTTTGGTAGACTATATGAATAGCCATTGAAAAGGGGAGCTGCTCCGGGTCCGCTTCGCGCTGAACCAATCATGCTGAATTAGAACCAAGTAGCAAACAACTGTGAAGTAGCAGGCTGCAGCTACACGCAACCATAGCACTTTAACACCTGAAGTCGACAGCACTGTTGGTGAGAAAAAAAGACAATGAGTGCCACCCCCGGCAGAAATGTAGATGAAGGCTCAACAGATGATGACAGTGTTGACGACACTGGCACAAAAACGTCAATGTTGTGGAGGTAATTTGGTTTTTTGAAGTCGGACATGAAGCAAAGTAAAGTGCACTACAAATTATGTCGAGCACATGTTCTCGCAAAGTCGGGGAATACCGCAAATCTTTTTCACCACCCAAAGCTGTGCAATGCAGCAGAGCACGCACAATGCAAAAGTTTACAAACCCTGAGTGGAGCAAGGAGCCCACAGAGCCTGTGCAGCCAAAACGGCCAACCATTCAGCCCACTTTCTCTAGTGCAACACCTTACGACAAAACGTCAAAGAGACACTAAGACCTCACATATTTAGTAGCTTATTGTATTGCAAAAGGCGTGCTGCCAATAAGCACTGTTAAATTTCACTTTTTATATGATGATATATATCGATATCAACTGATATAAAAAAAAATGTGATAAACTTTTTACCATATCACTCAGCCCTAGTAGTACCTCTGGTGCTGACCAACAAGAGTGATGGTGTTTCATTACATAGTCCATTGAATGTACATAGCTCTACTTTAGGTCAACAGGACTCCTGTGTTATTGAGTTTTTCCTTCAACAATTCAAACTGTCTACATGACATGTGATTCATCAAACCTTTCAGTTTACACACACAATGCAATCAAACCATTTCCCCTAACTTTTTTTGTTGCATCCATGGATGGATGCCAGCTTTACTGAAGGAGCTTGAGTTTCTATTAAACTGCTGTGTGTTGCCCAACAAGTTAAGAGGGCTTTTCTTATTTCCTTGGAACTACAAAATGATTGAACCTGTTATTGCTGCCATGCACACGGAAGCACAACATAGCTCCAGGGTACTGAAAATGGGTGGAAAAGAATCAGTGAATGCGGTATAACATGACAAAGAGCACAGTCTTGCCTCTAGGCATAAGTTTTGACCGCAGCCAATATTATTCAGTCTGGTAAAACCATACTGAATCTGTCCTTGAGATCACTTACACTGGACACCATATTCAGACAAGGATCAAATTATTGCATCAAACAGCAGCATACTGCAGAGGACTTGGCTGACCTGGCTTCATTTTAGTCACACACACAATCACAACTGATAAGACACTCCAGATGACTAACCCCACGCCAAGAAGGAGGAAATTTCCACAACCAATTTTACAACCTGGGTTTGTTTGTTTTAATCAACAATGTCGATTACAACATAATTGCTGTCAATTTAACAACAGCCTTGAAAGTTGCTCAACATAGACTGGCTCCAATGAAAGAAGGAGCAAAAATCATATGAACCACTGACATTTTTGTCTACAGAAGGGGGTCGGCAGATTAGCAGGTTTATCACAGAGGAAGGGGTTCACTCCTTTAGTCAGTGGCCTATCAATGTCTCCAGATCCTCCATTATCTGAGATTCTGGCTCCTGAGGACCAGAGGACTAAACAGAAACAGAAAAACCACATAGCTTTATCCATCGATCCCTGTGCATTCAACTCCTATGAGAGTGGGTATCTTCACTCTTCTTTTATTTTTACAAACCTCAGACGTTTAGAGGGAACATGGACAGAGCCACAATAAAAATCTAGTTTTCATGATTTCCTTTGCTGACAATTTTAACTTCTCCATCTCAAATCACCTACCCCTGTAAAAAGGACAACACAGTTATACACTCTCGTATTTTACATACCTTAGCTTCTTAGCTCCAACCTCATGTTACAGCCTGACATTTGGTCAGGAACAGCATGGTAAAACCCTTGGTTGCCGGTAACAGAGCTGTAGCAATGAAGCAATAATCTCTAAAGTTCATCTAGGCTGACTGCCTACCACCTCCCTGCCTATATCTGCCAGTACAGACTGATTCAGCTGACACAAGCATATGTGCAGAAACAGGGACAACAAGCTCATTCACAGTCTATGGACATGTAAATAGCTATGCTAACTTAGCTCGCAGACTGTCTAAGGATTTTCCACTCCTACCTTAACAGCAGCACCAGCAGAAAGTGAGGCAAGGAGAGAAAACAACTGAGCTAACAACAACAACACAGACTCTAGGTTTGCTGGAGGAATACAAAGTAGCCTTCTGCACTTGCAGACAAGGCCTACACACAAGTGAGCATCTCATGGCTAATAGCTTCAACTCAAAGCCCATTAGAGGAAAAACATAACCAAAGCCACAGGGACACATGCAAGTGTAGGCCTCGTTTTCTGTGTCTACTCAGAGGACATTTAAATGTGTGTTAATATTGATAAATCATGCATCTAGCCTAACAACAGACTACAAAACAAGAGATTTGAAGAAGATTTTGAAGAAAAAACAAAGATTTGAAAGGTGTAACTGGAGTTACTGTGATTGAAGACTGTGTAAAAGAATATTTTATCAATAATAATAATTAATTATTATTATTACCAGCAATATATAAATATTTTGCAGCAAATGTATTGTTAACACAGCTTGAGCATTCACAACGAACACATCACAGAAATAATGCAGACTTATTGGGTTTGACTGAAGCCTGGGTATACATTTTTTTGGAATATCATGTAACTTTTCTACTATATTACATATAAGGCAACAACACCACCTAGCACCAGCTGCATCTTTGGTCTCATGTATTTCCGGCTTAATCTATAACATCAGTGACTTAGGGGAGGGGGGCTGGGCTGCTGTATGGCTGAAATTCAATCACTGAAAGGTTGAGGATGGGGTGTCAGGTTACATTAAGTAACCCTCAAACAAACCAGAAAGCAGGATGCTACTGAGACAGACAAACCGTTTCAAGGCCACAATCACACCAAAGAACATTTCTTTGTGTATCCTTTCTTTAACTGTCAAGTATATTTATAGTCACATTGTGACAATAAATATCGTCATCTATTATTTTTGTTGATGTGTAATAAGAGTGATTTTGTTTTTAGCAGAAATTGCTATGTGAAATTTCATCATTTGAGAGTTCACAATGTTAAAAATACATGCTGCCTTTTTGAAAAAAATGTTTTTAATAACTTTAAAAAGACTAACACAGGTCTGAGGAATCCATTTTTGTAGTGTGTCACACTCTGATGTAAATTGTGTGACCAGATTTAAATTGTAATCCTGAAGTTTCAGTATAAAGTAGATGGCAGGATATTTGGGCTTCAGGTGTAGCTTTGCTCAGTTATCTTTCCTTTCTTCCCTACGTCTATGTGTGTGGTAATAACACTGTTACAAATGTACAGTTCTACTCTCCCCCAGGGAAGAGGCAGCAGTCTCTTCGCAGAGTCTGCCTCCATGCTGGCCTGCTCCCATTGTTCTCCATGAACAATGAAGCCAGTGTTGACTCCACTGTCCAGGGGCAGACCTGGGCTGACTACTAACACAACCATGTCTGTTTTCACCGAACACAATAAACACTCTAGGCCATGAGATTCATGATAACAAGTCTGCATAGTTAAGTGAATTTGTGGTCGTTTTGGAGCAATGATTACAATCATGTATGGTGGGGAAAAAGATGTGTGGAGTTAAAGATGCAAAGAATATACAAGACAAACACGTCCTTGGTTTAATATACTTCTGTCAGCACAAACAAGTTTGGACACTGGTCTCTGACCTTTGACCCTGAAAGTTAAGCCAAACTACTGCAATTCTCTTCGCACTACACTTTTATAGGGAGATGCCGTAATGCTTGTGGGGAAGATAACCCATGAGGAAATGCATACTGCTTAAACTCAGATTCAGACGACAACAACATACTGACCAAGGTGAAGCCAGGGGACGGTCGCAGCTCAGATTTCCCTCCAGCCAAAATAGTTTGGCACAATTTCCACCCATAGATATGTTGCCTCACTTGCCTCTCTTGAATCTCTCGGCGGGATTGTGAAGTTGAGTTATAAAAACGCCGAACCGAAGGGGAGCTGCTTCCCTGGACTCTAGAAAGCAGAGTTTTCTATCTTTCAACCTAAAGCCAAAAGGAAATTTGCGTTGTTCACACCGGTAGAGGGTGTTTTGACGCAGTGCTGTTCACTTAGCAAGCTAAAAGACACACGAAGCCTCTAGGTGAAAGCTGGACAGATGTACCAGGGCCTTATTGTTTATGTTCACGAGTATGAATCCAGTGCTTTCCACCCGGAGGAGAATGACCATTGAGGCCAACATCACTAATCGTATTTAGCTTAATCCGTTTGGTTGAAAATAGCAGAATCAAACATCTCTCTTCCATTCGGGGCAGAAGGCACCTGGCTGACTATCCCATCTATAACCTAATCTCTTTGGGCTAACGCTGTCACCGGATAACGCTGGACAGCTATGACTGCTAACGATAGCGGTTTGCTTTCATGTTAGCACGGCTGACAAAGTACAACAGCTCTAACCCAATCCTAATGTTGAAGAAAGGCTTGTTATTCTTCTCATGTCCCCGTATTGACCTCCGCTGTTACTGAGCTCTGTCGCTATTGACTCATTTGAACGGATAGCTTGCGCTTTCGGAAGTACTTTTGCTTCGTGGCTATAGGGAAATCGTCAGAAAACTACAGGGCACTGGTTTCAACACTGCTCATTGAAAACGTGTCATAGAATTATATATAAGGAATCCATTTACCTGAGCTGATGGACTCCCGTCAATCGTCACTGACTGTCAAATAACACACAACGGAAATCGGCATCCGTTAGACTCCTCCTCTTTTACTCCCAGTAGAACCTTGACCAATCATCGACAGAAGCGCTGTGACAAAGAACCAATAAAAACGAAAAGATGGATTGAATCGCTGATTCCCCGCCTACTTCCATGTAAATAAATACTCGGTATCCAATGCTTCTCAAAGTCGATCCATGATTGGATAACATCCGGGATGGCTAACGTTGCATCAACCAATGAATTCTGAAGATTTCTAATGTCTCTACCAGGTTTTGACATCACCCATCCAGCAAAAATCTGTGTACGCCATTCAGCACCTCAATCAAAGCAGGGACTTAAACGGACTCAAACCTTATGTTCATCCTCACCATTACATCATTATTAATATTCAAGCCTCATCCTGTACTACTAAAAACTTCTGAAATATACTGTGCACGTAAAAACCAGTATTAACATGTTTACACAGTGAAAGGAGAAATAAATCCAAATTCATTAAGGTCGATAATTTCATGACCACCTTAAACTTTGATTTATGTAAGGCTTAATCAACGAGTTGGTATGAGACTCTGTTATCCAAGATCACATTTCAGTGTCTTTCTATAGTAAATCTATCAATTCTTTTTTTCTTCTTTTTTTTCATGATTCAAACTTCTCGATGTTTCAAACCTCATAATCTTTCACATATATTATGTATTACTCAGTTTCCTACTTTTCTTTCTTATGACACTTTTTATACTTTCTCCTCTTTAATAATTTCAGTTGTTCTTTAAGACCTTTAAATCATTCTGACTATTCATGCAGAATACTGTTCCTTCATATAATTTTCAACTCATTCAAGCTGACTGACACCTTTCTGATGCTTCAAACCTACTAATTTTAACATATTTTCAGCATTCAACCATTTGCAGTAGCAGTTTACTATCAGCAATTTAACAGCAATCTCTCTCAGAAACTGCATTTTCTAGTTATTATTCTTTCATTGTTTTTTGCACTTCAACTACTTCCACATACTTTAACATATTCAAACCATTCAAAATTCAAAATATTCATCCCAATTCAGACATCTGGGCTTGTATTCAGAATTCAAATTGTAAGAATAGGTTTTTTAGCTGACTCCTTAAGGACAACCAGAGAAGTCTTCAGGCCTCAGATAAACCTTTTTGTATGATCACAGGTAGAGTAATACAGCGCTGGACTCGTAATGACAGAGCTCTTAGGATTTCCATTACAATGAGTGCTCGTTTCCAGGTGGAATTCACATTTACCTTCTTGGGCAGGAGTTGCTCTGGACACAGGTTGGACTTACACACACGAGTGTCACTGGCCGGTTATCTCTGAGCGAACAGGCAAACCACTCTTCACTTGGTCTTACTAAAATGTGTGATGAAATATGTTTGTGTGTTGACTTTGAGGTGTGTATCTACTGTAGCAAACCTGTCCGGCCAATTAAAGAGAGACTTATGTCTCATCAGGTTCCTGCTTGTCGAGCTAAATGTCACACTGTTCTAATAAAATGAAAACAACCTGTGAGTAAATGAAAATATTGAGTTACAATAGTTCAGTGGAAAAGCACTAATCTGAATCTGAAGTGAACAGAGAAAAGACAGTAAATTATATGCGCAATTATATGTGACAAATTACTGATTTAAAGTGAAAAAATTAATCGCCAATTATTACGCTAACATTCATACTTTGCGCATCATTCCTGGTTTTGGAGTGTCATTTGCTGCTGTTCTTTATTTACAGAAAATGACCACAGCCTTTCAGCCTTGAGTTTAAGTTTTGTAAAGCCTTATAGTACTCAGACGTTTAAATATTTACTGTGGGCAATCACAGTTTGTTGTGTTTAGAGTTATTTTTTGTTTTAAATATTTGTGTGATATGGCCATAGACCAAAGCTGTCAAACTTAACCTACAGCGAGGGCCATAATCTGGATTTAGGTCTAACCTGAGGGCCAAACAGAGTCAATATTTAACCAAAAATGTCAACCACCTTTTCAAAATATATGTAACATAAACAGCAATGATTATAAATCATTTGAAAATTCAAAAAAGATAAAAAGTTTAAATGCAAACTGAGATAGAAAAATTATTTCATTTTTTATTTTATTTTTATATATTAGTTCAAAAGATCAGAACATGATATTAAAAATAGAAAAATAATGCTTTTAAAGAGCAAATATATGAGGAGCAAGTTGAAACCATGTGTAAAGGTCAAAATATTAATTCAAAACTATAAATTGGAATCTAAAGTATATAAATGACAAAAGTCTAAATACTGAGTTGAAAAAAATCAATGCATGAAATAAAAAATCAAATAATGTTTGACTTGTTATCTTGGGATTCAACATTGAAAATATGAAATAAAATATCAATTATTTTTTTCCCCCACATCCTTGACTATTTATAAAATCTTCCTTACGTTTTACTGTCCTGGATTTTTGTGTTTTTTAAGGATATTTTAAATAATGGTGCTAAAGTTTGCATTATTTATCTAGAGGAAATCTGCAGACGTCATACTGGTGGGCCGGTAATAATAAAAAATACAATACGATATCTTGGGCCAGATAAAATTGTTGCACGGGCCAGATTTGGCCCCCGGGCCTTGAGTTTGACACCTGTGCCATAGACTGTACATAGAATGGACGTCTTCTGCCTCCTTGCTGGGTGAAGCCTCTGAGATAACAGCACCCTCTGGTGTTGGGCTGCAGTATAGGTCGTAAATTTCTCCTCCTCCATAATAGAGCCTTGGACCAACTATAGAAATAAACTACACAGAAAATAGATTGGGAATATAAATTGGGATGTTAACATGTAGTTACTGTAAGACTGGTTTGTGCTCAAGTCCTGTTTTTTCTGTGCAGCTCCATTTTTAAAAGTTATTAGGGGGTTCATGTTTTCTATGTTTGACACTTGATAGATCACCTGGGGATACGTTGTTTGAGCAGAGTGTCATCACAGTAACTCTCCTGTGTAACTGTACAACACTACTGTGCAATTGGTGGTTCCAGGAAGTACAGAGAGCAATTTGGCTTCAAATTCAGATAATGACGGAAGATAGGCTAGAGCTACTAAAATAGGATACTTTTAACCACTGCATTTTAGATTTTGTATCATCTTGGATGCACAAACTGCAGATTATATGAAGATTATGTTAAATACAAATATTAACTTATCTGTATTGGGAATGAGTAGCAGGAATCTATCAGTTATCGGTATCATATTGGTTGAACTTATTCACATCATGCATCTCTACTCAATACTAACTTTGCCTATTACTTAGTCTGGTCAGTTTGTTCCTCTGTGCTTTCTCTAAAGCCTGCATGATTGCCGCAACCACCAGGTTCACCAGCACATACTGGGCCACCATAACAAAGCTGCAGAAGTACAGTGAAGACACCCAGCTCAGGTAGATCTGTGATTCTGATCCTCTTTAGAAGCTCAAAGATGCACAAGCAGAAGAATCTGGTTTTGAATTATCACTGTAGCACTGTATGGCAATTGAAACAACATTCAAGAATTACATTTGAATATGTTGCATCTACACTTTTTCTGCAAATGCAGTTACAGCTAATTTGGGACTTAACGTGAATTTTTATGGTTATGAAACATTTCTAGCACTGTCCAATCAACTAATTCAAAAGTGAGGCAGATAAACCAGAATGTTTAAAGCACACCTGTTCTGTGGAGAAAACATGAATTAGACCTGTTTTGTGGTCTTTCCACCACCAGAAAACTTCCTGTATGAATTTGAAATATCACTAAAGGGGTAGATAGTTGCGCAGAAGTTTCTGGTGTCATTCCAGAGTATGAACAAAAGATTTACAACTCACTGACACTGACAATACAGACATTAAGAGAATATTTTTTTTTACTTTCTGCATGGTCTTATGATGTAAAGTTTCATAAACCCTAAATCAATGATGTGCACTAAACCTGACTTTGAAACCTAGCACTACAAATATCTTACACTGTCCTCCCTGGAGTCTGGTAGTGCAGGGTTTCCATCAGGGTTAAGGTCAGTTGCAGAGGATGTGCTGGGACCAGAGCCAGAACTGGAAAAACACAGTCTCACTCCAAAACGTAGAATGCCTACAGTGGTCCATTGTAAAAAACTTTGTCATTTCACAAAAACGGCTCTGACATTGTGGCATGGGTACATTTCATCTGCCCAGTCTTTTCTACAGGCAGAATTCAGCTCAAGTGACTGCTATGTTTCTCCCTGCGTTACAAAGAACAAGGAGAACATCCTTACTATTCTCGGTGGAAATTGTGATATTTTAAGATAGCTTGTGGCTTTAGCTTTGTTTTGATAACTTGTCAAATGCACACTTGGGTTTCATAGTATTCGTTCGGTTTATCTTAATGATCCCTGGATCTTCAGTTTCGACATACATTCTTTCAGTTTTCTCAAAGAAATTGTAGTGATAATACGTTTTTTTAAGTTGCTATGGCAGTCGTCACAATCACTGACGAACCAAAAGGAAGTTGATGGGCATCACAGACCAAGTTGCTATTAAAACATTTTTCAAAGTTACTGCAGCCCTACATTTGACCACATATACATTTCCATGCATTAAATAATGACTTCTGTTTGATTTTTAAAGAATAAGTAAATAATTAATGAAACCAACTGAAGCATTTCAGCCACAAAACAAACTATAGAATGGAACAATATCTGTATTAGGCTATTATTTACACAATACTGTCCATAAAATACATGATTTATGTATTTTTATTTGAGATAAATCTAACAAATTAATACCATCTTTTAAAACAGGTTCTATTAAACCACAAAGTATGATCCTATAAAATAGATTAATGTCTGCTTAATTTTTCGTCATTAGTTATTCTTGTAGTTATATGTCATTTCTTTTCATGTTTTTTCTTTGCTTTTTTCTTTTTTTTTATTCAGATGTGTGTATTGATACTGCTACAACAATTTTGTTCAGCAGCACACACACCCATACATAAACACATACACACACATTTAAAACTTGGGGCCCTTTCTCATACTCTTTAGTTTGACCTACTATCCCCAGATGTCTAGCAGTTGTGGATAAGATCAGACCCTGTCACATAAAACAACTGTAAACTTCAAACTCTTTGAAACTTCAGACTTTGCACATGTAGTTTCGTTCACTTACATAGTGACCTTTCTGTGATTTACATTTAGATGTGTGTTTCCTGCTTATCTCAGTACAGGAAGGGTGCACTATGCTGAACACTTTTTGGAAGGTTTCTGTTATGAATACCTTATATATCTCACAAGTTTGGTGTTGATCAGCTGAGGCCTGTAGATTTTATCAAACATTAAGTGTCATGACCATACAACTTAAAAAGTTTTTTTTAATGTATTTATTTTCATATTTTAGATACAGTTTTTAAATCTATAAAACTGTACACACAAACACAACAAAGAAGCGGTCAAACATAAAAACAGAGGGAAAAAGAGAGGATAACAAAGAAAAAAATAGAAATGGAGTGGCTGCCAAAAAGTAGCCCATTTTCACAGGCATAATTACAATGAAAAAAGAAATTGTAATTGCAGTCACTAAGGTAAAGCGGGCAGATATCAAACCTGACACTGGGCCAGATAGGGTCCCCAAGCTCAAATGTATCTTGTCTGTTGGGTTTGTACAGGTGCACTTTACGTTTGAATAGCCGTAATCATCTTGTTCAGCCTATGTGCAAAAGTGGGAGGAGTGGTAGACTTTCAGGTCAGGAGAATAAGTTTCTTGGCCACTACTATCCTCAGGTGCAGAGCATCCAGCGTGTCATGTAAAGGACAGAAGTCTCTGCCGAGCATCCAAGGATGGCCAGTCAGGGTTTGACTGAATGACCTTGGAGTAAGCTTTTGAAAAGTACTGTCTGAGGTCATTGATGACTTAGGGCTCTATTTTCGTGCGCGCCGGTGAGGCGGCGGAGGGCGGCGAGCCCCGCGCAGTTGTATTTTCGTCTGGCGGAGCCCAGCGTAAGGCCAGTTTGGTATTTTCGTGGCATGAGCCGCACGGAGGCGAGCCGAGATCCGCCAAGCTGGGCGTGGTGGCGTGGCAGGGGGAGGTGTCGACAGAATCAGCTGGCGCAGTGACATTTTCGTGCTCGCCAACGGCGTGTAAAGTGCGCTGAAAGCTCGCCGATTCAAACCTGGTCAGCTTTCAGCGCAAGGCGGAACGCAGCTGGTCTTGTAGTATTTTGGTAGACCGGCGGCGTATCGACATACGTCACTGATGCCTCACCGGCAGGTTTCCACAGTGTCAGGCACATTTCAGTGCAATAAATAATCATCATCAACTATTAATCTGAGTCAGCACATACATTTAGATCTATATCGATATATTCTGATCTATATCTGATCTGATGAGCGCGTTTGGCACGCGTTTGGACACACAACCTGACCGAATCAACACAGCTGAAACCACATCAAATTAAATTAAATATCTAGTAAATATTCACACATGATGAAGTTAACAAGATATGTAATTCGTCTCCCTCCTTTTCTTTCTTCCTCTTCCTCTTATTTCTCGCACAGCTCGACCTGGACACGTCTCCGTGTCCTCTGTCCGTCTTGCTGCTGCTGCAGCTGAACAGATGATTTGTTTCAGTGCTCAGATGCGTTATCTACTTTAAGCCGACATACGGATATTATAATATTCAGTTTTGTGAGCCAAATTTATTTTATATGCCAACATCTATGAAAGAAAGAGCCAGGCCACGGAGCGCGATGCGTCATTTACGCACAGATGGTTCCGATTTTAATGCCATTTTTGGAGTTTATGTTGTGATCTGTGCGCTCAACCCACCTTTGTCATGTGAGGTTTGAATATGAGCAACTTTATGTGAGTGTCTTTATTTGTGGAAACGGGTGTTTGTCTTACCAGTGGGTCCAACATTACGCACACTAAATCCATCTGTGCTCATATGAGAGAGTGTGGAGGACACTTGTTGAGGAACTGCCCTCTGTCGCCATCTTGTGGCATTACTGTCTTAAGACATCTCTTGATCTCTTTGACTACTCCATGAAAATAGTAATACGCCTCGCCTGTGGCGGATTTAAAGGCAAGGAGAGGAGCCTATGTGATTGGTGAAAACAGGTCTCGGCTGTGTTAAACCAACTACACGCCCTTTCTCCTCCCCGTCTACGACTTATGGTGCTGGGAGGAGCTGAGTTAGGGAGGGGGAATACTTACGCCGGGCTGCGCGGCTCACCAAAATACCAAAATGTGCTTGGGAACGCCTTGTCAGCGCGGCGGATCTGACTGACGCTGCGCTTGCGGCACGTCTCCGGCGAGGCACCAAAATAGAGCCCAATGTGACCAAAGATCCAAAATGTGGAGTTACCTGATTTGGAGTCCCCCCTACTGGCCAAAAATGGTTTCCTGTGAAATGTCTCAACTGATTCAGAAAGTAGACCTCTCAGCCTTTACAATGATACCCCATATTTTCATTTCTGGAATTTAAGAAAAAAACCAACTCAAAATAGGGATGATTTGCAGAATTTTTCTACGTTGAAACATAGTGTAGAGACAAACAATGAGGTCCAGTGGTCCAAAGGCACTTTTTTTAAGGTGGAATCAAAACCTTAGCACAACCACAAGCGAATGTGGTGCCAACTTCGGCGTCATTGTAAGTGACAGCTTTAAACAAGCTAAAAGGCAATAATCACTGGAAAATCAGCTTTGAGGAAGATATTTGTGTAAAACAGACCAACATAGAAATAACTGGACTCTTTGGACACTAAGCTATTGAATTTGATCACAAATGCTGGGCTCTTATTTTACATTTTGATGTATATTGCTGTATTTAATGAACTGAACCAAATCACACAAAATCCCCTTCCTTATAAACTGCAGGTAATAATATTAAGATTATCTCAGAGAAATAGTTGTCTTTTTACATTAAAAAAGGTAAGAGCAGCATTTTTGTGCTGCAAAGTACTTCCTTGAAAAAAATATCATTAAAACTAATCACACGATGCATGCACTGAGGTCACAGGTCCCCTCCTGTGGCAGTCAACATCCTACCCCTGTGTCTTTCCAGTGTGGTGCAGAATGGACAAACTAGTAACAAATACATTTATGTATTTTGTGAACAGCTGTCCACAAAGCCCCAGTAGGAAGATAAATTGAGCTTCAAAAAAGGAGAATCAGACTTATCACACATCACAAGATCATCTTGAATGCCACCATCACTTCTGCTGATTTATTGCCTGCCTGTTGTTTACTGTAAGAAAAGAAACAGCAGAGAGTAAGCAAGTGAGGTTAAAAGACATTGTGAACTGTGGCATGTAGTTTTAATGTCACAGTAGAGGAGCAGAACCTTTCTTAAGTCGATTCCACATAAATGTACTACAGAGTGTCTTTATACGGCTTATTTATCTTAATCAGCATTTCAGTATGACTTAAACTGCGCTTGTCGCTGAGTGAAATAATATTGTAAATGCAGAGTTACTTCCACGAACACAATATTGTAAACTGTTAATAAAAAAAACTGCTTCTTCTGCGCATGGCAGGGTTTACTTTCACTTTCGTTTTTGACTTGGAGCGGTTTTATTAGAGGAACAAAGAAAGCGAGACGACGGACTCTGACGGTGCTTTAAGCCGAAAAAATGGCTAAAAAATACTTCTATCGTAAGTCATGACACCACTTTGACCGTTTAAACTTTGAAATGAAACATTTAATGCGAGGGTGGACATTTGTCTTTGACTTCTTCATAGATGTTAAATATGTCCTAAATTTGGACAGACATCTATTTACAGGCAGAAACACCACAAGATAAAACCTAATCCTTTTATTTTGTCTAAAACAGATGACTGGATAGCTTACCTGTCGTGTTAAAGGGATGTTCCGGCGTACAATTAAGTTATGGTCACACCGTGACACCGAGTTAGACACCCCCCAGAGTGATGAATTTTGCCGACCGCTCGCTTCTCTTGTTATACCAACTTTAGTAACGACCGCATGATAGCAATACACAGTGGTCTATCATTCCACGCGCAAAACTCAACCACGAATAGCTACAAATAATGCTCAGAACAGCACCTAACTTCATCAACAATACATATAGGGTCCCAGTCATAGTAGGCTGCTAGCCACAAAACATCTTTTTAGCTGTGCCTAGTTTCTTTAGCAAAGAAACGAAACACAACTCAACCACCCTCCTGCTTGTTTGTGGGAGAGCCCGGGCAGTCCATCATTGAGTGCAGCAGAGGGTTTCAGCTCAAGGAAGAATATTTATGACCATTTCTTCACGGAAATGCAATCAGACCAAGACGCTAAGACAGAAAAACATCTGAGAACAAGATATTTATGACATTAATAACATAAAACTAGAGTTAACTACTCTTAGGCCTGCTGACTGTAAGCACATTAAATTAATTTTACATAGTCCATAATTACTCATATCCTAACCCTGTAAACTGAATTCATTTTATTTCACCATTACATGAGTAAATGTTGCTGTTGTCCCATCCATCTCTCTCACCCTCGTTTGCTACTCTCTCTCCCTCCCTCTCCCTTACTCGTTCTCTCTTTCCTTCCCCCTATCTTGTTCTCTTTCTCTCCACTTCTCTCTTTCTCACTCTGTCCCCAACCCAGCAGCAGCTCGGTGGCTGTCTGGCATGAGTCTGGTCCTGCTCAAGGTTTCTGCCTGTTAAAAGGAAGTTTCTCCTTGCCACTGTTACTCATGTTAGATGAGATGGGCCAACACCCATCTTACTGAGCTGTTCCAGAAGATCTTGATAATTCATCAAACAATAAGCGTGGTCTAGACCTGCTCTTGTTCTTTGAAAAGCATCTTGGGATGACAACTGTTGTGAATTGGCGATATATAAACAAAATTTGATTGATTGATTTGATTGAAAAACTACTGCGTCTTCAGTGTAAAATGATTATGATGATGATTATAACCACAAGGAAATGATCCGCTGCACTCAATGATCGACGACTCGTCAGGGCTCCCTCACAAACAAGCGGCTGCTGAGGAGGGTGGTTGAGTTGTGTTTGGTGACTTTGCTAAGGAAACCAGGCAAAGCTAAAAAGATGTTTGATGTCTAGTACTATGGCTGGGACCCTATATGTACTGTTGATGAAGTTAGGTGCTGTTCTGAGCATTATTTGTGGCTATAGAGTGGCTTTTTGGTTGAGGTGTGCGCCTGGCTCCTCAGACTGCTGTGTGTTGCTATCATGCAGTAGTTGCTGAATTTGGTATAACTAGAGAAGCAAGCAGTTGGCAACATTCATCTCTCGAGGGGTTGTCTTATACAGTGTTGCGGTGTGCTTGACCCTAACTTAATCTTATGCCAGAATGTCCCTTTAAGGATCTTTCCTTTTCCATCTTTGCAAAACTGTCATTCTTCCTTATAGTGTGGCATGGGGAGCTAGTCAGGGTTTTTCAGTTCAATACATTAGAAATCTTTCTCTGTCGAAGTTGCATGTGACAGCTATGAAATTCAGGAGGCCTCTGTTGTTATATCAAGAGTCTGAATATAGGATCTTGGGTACTGTGTGATATATCAAAGCTAACATGATGCTGGTGTAACTTTTTGTGTGACAAAAACATTTATTCAAATTTAATAGTAAGATTCGTTCATACCAAGAACTGTAATATGGCTTTGGGAAATATTCTGTTTTCTTGGTTTCTTATACAGAGTACAGTGGATCACATGAAGAGCTCAGAATAGTGATGGTGGGGAAGACTGGAGTTGGGAAAAGCGCCACTGGAAACACCATCCTGGGAAGAGACTGCTTTGAATCAAGGTTCAGTGCTCATTCCATGACTGTGGACTGCTCCAAAGGCAAGGGCACAGTGGACGGACAAAAGGTGGCTGTGATTGACACCCCAGGCCTGTTTGATACCAGGTTTGGGATGGACAAGACAGCCAAAGACATCAGCCAGTGCGTCACTTATGCTTCTCCTGGTCCCCATGTGTTCCTGGTGGTCATCCGTCTGGGTAGATACACTGAAGAGGAGAAGCAAACGGTGCAAAGGATTCAAGAGATCTTTGGTCAGGCAGCAGACAGATACAGCATGGTTCTCTTTACCGGAGGAGATGAGTTAGAGGCGGAGGAAGAAACTATTGAGAGTTTCTTGGCTCAAAGTCCAGAGCTGCTGGGAATGGTTGCTCAGTGTAATGGCCAGTACCATGTCTTCAACAACAGGAAAAAAAAAGAGCGCTCTCAGGTTACTGAGCTGTTCCAGAAGATCAGAAACATAGTCCAGAAGAATGGAGGAAGCCACTACACCAATGAGATGTTCCAAGAGGCTGAGAGGGCAGTTGAAGAGGAGAAACAACGCATCCTGAAGGAGAAAGAGGAGCAAATACGCAAGGAAAAAGAGAAACTTGAGAGGGAAATACAGCAACAGTATGAAAAAGAGATGAGGAGAATCAGAGATCAAGTCCAGGCTGAGAGAGAGAGGGAGAAGAAAGAAAGAGAAAGAGAGAGAAGGAGAGAAAGGGAGAGAAGGGAGTGGGAGAGGCAGATGGAGTTAGTGGAGAGGGAAGCTGAGAGGAGAAGAGTTCAAGAGGAAAGAGAGAGAGACTTAGAAAATATGAGGATGCTTTTACAGAGACAACATGAAGCAGAATTGGAAGAAGAAAGAGAAAGGTTAAGAAGACAAGCGCAACAACAAGCTGAACCAGACGTTTGTACAATTCTATAATGACTTTACTCTCTTAGTATTTATCTGCTTAATGAACTACTTCCCTCTGTAAGACTGAAATTGAATTAGAATGAACATTCTGTCATTGTGTGTTTAATCTGTAGTCCAGCTGACATGGGTTTACTGTTACAACCATCGTTAAGGAAAATGAGGAATATTAAAAAAATAGATAATACACAAGCATACTGTAGTTACAAACAAAAGATGAAATAAAATGTTTGTGCGTTAAGACTTGTGTGGTTGTACAACTTTGAGTCAGTATTTGATTCATTCAAACAGCAGGACTCCACAACAAAACCATGAATGGAGCTGGACAAATAAACAATTAACAATGAACCCTTGGCATCATGTGACACTTAAAGGCATTATGAGGTAACTGGCTTTAAAAAAGTCTCACTCTTACACTGATGTCTCTTTATGATTTGTTTTCAACTGTAACCTTTGTATAGTAAAATGCCACCAAATAATGGTTGTTGGTTTACACTGCATTGTTTTAGACAGAGAAGCACTACAACCAGGGCTTTGCTGGGTAAAGTAAGATTTGATGTTAATGCAAGTGTATGAGTCAAGACCAAAGAGTTATGCTGTGTGCCAACTTACATTTACAGACAGACTGCTAAGCACACATCATGACACTGGGGCTGCTCTGGTCTCCTTTAGTAGCTAACTCACGTTAATAAATCAAAGCATAGCTGTTAAGTTAGTCAAAAGTGGCTACAGTTACATAGCTATCATCTATATATTACCACATCATTATGGGTTAAATGCAGAGGGCCATTCAGAAAGCCCCAAAACTGTATGCTTTCCATCCATCACTGTGGGTATTTTCCATGTAAAAACAGGCCTCTCTCATCTGGGTGCTGTTAAATGCTTTCTGTGACACCTGCAAGCAGTAATAGAAGTCAACAGTACAGAAACTCTTAGCAGGACGTACAAGTGCAACACTTGTCAGTTTTCCGTTTCATAGCCAGCCAAAAATTGCAAGAACTTTGGTGTATAATTGATATGTAATTGTAATGTAAACTTTACTTATTCCAACCTTAATGTTGAGGAGTCCTCTTTCTTCAAATCAGCATTCTTCAAATCTCACTAACCATTTTTTTCAACTTTATGATGAACAATACCACAAAAAAGTATCTGAAAACACCAAAAAGCTGCAACCAAAATTATCAAAGCAAAAGAAAGTTAGCCAATTTGAGGTGCTTGTCACTTTATTACCTAAGTGAAGTACCAAATCAAACAGGCTTTCAGATATCAGAGTGCAGACAGAGCATACACTTACACTGTCTTCAGTGTTGTTGTCAGAGCCAGTGAAATATATATACTTATATATATGTGTGTGTGTGTGTGTGTGTGTGTGTGTGTGTGTGTGTGTGTGTGTGTGTGTGTGTGTGTGTGTGTGTGTGCAAATACTTCAGGACAGGAGCATTTGCTGTTACACATAAAATACATTTTCAAATATATCAAACATATTTATTTAAATAAAATACATAACTTTGACCTTTTTCATTACTGAAGGAGCATTTTTGTTCGCATTCTATATTCAAGGTTTTAAACCCTTGAATTAAGGTTAGAAATGATTGGTTGAATTCTTTGATTTGTTTTTGTCTATGTATGCATGAAATCAAAGGGGCATAAGCAGTGTCATTTCAGTATAATGTACGTGAATTTTTTAATTTCCTGAAAACCTTATTTTTCAGTGTCCACGTGAAAATATTAAGTTAGTGCCACATATATAGTCTATGGTCAGTGCTGGTTGAACTGCATGAATGATACCAAGGACTCTGTATGAAGAAACCCTCCAAATTTGCTGTTCTGTTTGTGTCCAATAGAGGGAGCAGTGCACAGTATTAACTGGCAGTTAAAAGAAGTGCTGCTTCTTCCTGTAAACAGTGAAGGGGAGGGGAGCAAACTGTCGGCTTTTCTGAGAGCAAGGGGAGTTCACGGTTGGCATGGATACTCAAGAGATTTAGTCAAATTATGAGGTAGGCTCTGGACAACGCACAGCTGAACAGGCTGATCACATTCCCTGAGAGCTTATCGAAACAGAAAGTGGGAGAAACACAGCAGGGTGATTTTGAGAGTGAAAGCTCTACAGAGCTTTTGGTTAAAACATTAATAAAGTTTTTGATATTATTAACTACTCCTCCACCTACTGTTCAGGACGAACTGGGACATCTTATGATTACAGAAGTTGGGATGATCTTTAATATTCTTATATCCAGCCTGGTGGTCATTTTCACACAGAGGCCAAGTTAATAATAAGATACAGCAGAGGGTGGCTCTTTCAAATGAAGCATCAACTTTTATGATTAAGCGTAAACTCGTCAAAGGGGGGACAAGCTACGTTAACAAACAGCACAAAGACGTTTATTTTGCCTAATAAGAACTTTACAATATATTCTTGCAGGAAATAAAAGTGTAAATGTGGAAAAAAATGAGCTGAACACAGGGCCAGTACTGAGATGCCACTAAAAATAATGATGGATGGGGCGGCACATACCACTCTGTTGATCAACTGTAAACGTCGAGAAAATCTGCTGGTTAAGTTTCACTTTCGATCTTACGTGTGGAAACTTTATATTGCCGGTGCAGAGACATTAGAGCATCAGACAGACTCGGACTCAGAGAGCTTAGTCTCTTCACTTCAACTCAGAACTCCCAAACCTGAGCATGGACGGCAACTATTACAACCCAAACATGGCCAGCAATTTTGGTGAGTCATGACAACTTATCCTCATTTCAAAAGTGAAGAGTGGTGTGTTTTGTCTCCCTGCTGCACAACGTGAACTCTGATATTACTTGTGCTTTCTTAGGAGGGATGAAAAACTATTTTCTAGTTGATGCTTTTTTTTTTAATAATCTAACAAGACATTTTGGGGTACATGGGGAAAAATGTTAATTAAAAGTCTTCATTTTTTTGTAACTGAGAAGCCAATGATTCTACCTTTTGAAAACTTCAATCACAGTTTATTTCTTAACAGTTTGGTCATGAGAAGAAAACCTCTACATTGTATTGATTGCATACATGTAACTACATAAAGCACTAGATGGACATGTGTAGCTTAATTTTTTATTTTAACAAAGGGACAGTGAAGGCATTTGAATGATAAAAATGTTATTTTTGATCCAAAGTATCAGGGTCCTCTTTAGAATAAAGTTCAGAACCTAAGTTTGATAGTGAAACTGTGTTGTTAGCCAAACTCTTTTCTATTTGATATAATAAAATAGTTAACAGTATCTGTTTTTGGTGACTTTATCTGTTGCACTCTTCCTTTCTGAGTGAACTGCCCTAACCCAAAACCTTATCCAATCTCTTTAACTTTTTACACAGGGTACACCATTACAAAAAATGATGAGGTGAGAATAGTGATGGTGGGGAAGACTGGAGTTGGGAAAAGTGCCACTGGAAACACCATCCTGGGAAAAGACTGCTTTGAATCAAAGTTCAGTGCTCAGTCCATGACTGTGGACTGCTCCAAAGGCAAGGGCACAGTGGACGGACAAAAGGTGGCTGTGATTGACACCCCAGGCCTGTTTGATACCAGGTTTGGGATGGACAAGACAGCCAAAGACATCAGCCAGTGCATCACTTATGCTTCTCCTGGTCCCCATGTGTTCATGGTGGTCATCCGTCTGGGTAGATACACTGAAGAGGAGAAGCAGACGGTGCAAAGGATTCAAGAGATCTTTGGTCAGGCAGCAGACAGATACAGCATGGTTCTCTTTACCGGAGGAGATGAGTTAGAGGTGGAAGAAAAAACTATTGAGGGTTTCTTGGCTCAAAGTCCAGAGCTGCTCGCAATTGTTGCTCAATGTAATGGCCAGTACCATGTCTTCAACAACAGGAAAAAAAAAGAGCGCTCTCAGGTTACTGAGCTGTTCCAGAAGATCAGAAAAATAGTCCAGAAGAATGGAGGAAGCCACTACACCAATGAGATGTTCCAAGAGGCTGAGAGGGCATTTGAGGAGGAGGAACGACGCATCCAGAAGGAGAAAGAGGAGCAAATACGCAAAGAAAAAGAGAAACTTGAGAGGGAAATACAGCAACAGTATGAAAAAGAGATGAGGAGAATCAGAGATCAACTCCAGGCTGAGAGAGAGAGGGAGAGGGAAGAAAGAGAAAGAGAGAGAAGGAGAGAAATGGAGATAAGGGAGTGGAAGAGGCAGATGGAGTTAGTGGAGAGGGAAGCTGAGAGGAGAAGAGTTCAAGAGGAAAGAGAGAGAGACTTAGAAAATATGAGGATGCTTTTACAGAGACAACGTGAAGCAGAATTGGAAGAACAAAGAGAAAGGTTAAGAAGACAAGCGCAACAACAAGCTGAACCAGACGTTTGTACAATTCTATAATGACTTTACTCTCTTAGTATTTATCTGCTTAATAAACTACTTACCTCTTTAAGATTGAAGTTGAATTAGAAAAAACATTCTGTCATTGTGTATTTAATCTGTAGTCCAGCTGACATGGGTAACTGTAGTTACAAACAAGAGATGAAATAAAATGTTTGTGCGTTAAGACTTGTGTGGTTGTACAACTTTGAGTCAGTATTTGATTCATTCAAACAGCAGGACTCCACAACAAAACCATGAATGGAGCTGGACAAATAAACAATTAACAATGAACCCTTGGCATCATGTGCCACTTAAAGGCATTATGAGGTAACTGGCTTTAAAAAAGTCTCACTCTTACACTGATGTCTCTTTATGATTTGTTTTCAACTGTAACCTTTGTATAGTAAATTGCCACCAAATAATGGTTGTTGGTTTACACTGTATTGTTTTAGACAGAGAAGCACTACAACCAGGGCTTTGCTGGGTAAAGTAAGATTTGATGTTAATGCAAGTGTATGAGTCTTCCACCAATTGTAGAGGACCAAAGAGTTATGCTGTGTGCCAACTTACATTTACAGACAGACTGCTAAGCACACATCATGACACTGGGGCCGCTCTGGTCTCCTTTTGTATCTGACTCACGTTAATAAATCAAAGCATAGCTGTTAAGTTAGTCAAAAGTGGCTACAGTTACATAGCTATCATCTATATATTACCACATCATTATGGGTTAAATGCAGAGGGTCATTCAGAAAGCCCAAAACTGTATGCTTTCCACCTATCACTGTGGGTATTTTCTATGTAAACACAGGCCTCTCTCATCTGGGTGCTGTTAAATGCTTTCTGTGACACCTGCAAGCTTTAATAGAAGTCAACAGTGCAGAAATTCTTAGTAGGACGTACAAGTGCAACACTTATCATTTTTCCATTTCATAGCCAGCCAAAACTTGCAAGAACTTTGGTGTATAATTGATATGTAATTGTAATGTAAACTTTACTTATTCCAACCTTAATGTTGAGGAGTCCTCTTTCTTCATATCAACATTCTTTAAATCTCACCAACCATTTTTTTTCTACTTTATAATGAACAATACCACAAAAAAGTATCTGAAAACACCAAAAAGCTGCAACCAAAATTATCAAAGCAAAAGAAAGTTAGCCAATTCGAGGTGCTTGTCACTCTATTACCTAAGTGAAGTACCAAATCAAACAGGCTTTCAGATATCAGAGTGCAGACAGAGTATACACTTACACTGTCTTTAGTGTTGTTGTCAGAGCCAGTGAAAGTGGCTTAATTTCGTGGTAGTGCTGATCCTTCAGTGGTTAAAAGCCAAGCTTTCATTATAAATTTCTAACTGATTTTTTACAAAGGGGTCAAGCTGATCCACATTCTTGACTTCCCTTTGAGAACAGTAAAGCATCCATCCGTCCATCCATCAATTTATCTATCCTCGGCGAGTATTAAACACACTATTGATAAATGCTTCTTTCAAACCCACCCAAAAAGCTGACTAACAAAACATGTACGGACCTCTCGAGCAGGTCAGTGTGAAAAATGCTGAAATACTGTTTACCAATAATAATCTTAAAATGGAAACTGAGGGAATAATCATGGTCAGAGTAAAGAAAGTAGCTTTATGAACAGCAATATGGTTTTAAACATTTTAGATTTCTTTTAACCTTTTATTATGAAACAATGAACCCATTCTAAATGTTACCACCTGATAGATATGCATCATACACACTTTAGTTTCTACCTGATATCACTCTGAAAACTTAAAGTAATAATTATAGTGTTACAAGCAATTCTGCCAGTCTGTTCCAATTATGATGTCTGTTTCGTAGTACTGTATTTGTACACAGTACCTCTCTTCATACTTGCATAAGTACTCACAGCTGAGGATGTGACTGCCATTGAGACATAGAGACTGAATCATATCAAGCATTGGCATTATGTATTTGGCATTTAATTTCAATAGTCCTCACAACAAGGTATGCGAATAGGCTCCAGCAAAGAGCCAAAGCAAACTGCTTTAAACATAAATAGGACTTCAGCAGGAATCTGCTGATTCCCCTCAACACAACTGAACCTCTGTTATGCATACTGTCATGTACTGTACATCTACAAGGTACTATTTATTTTTACACACACACAAACACACACACACATTAAAAAAAAAACTCTTCTCTTGCCCACCTTGGGCAGTATTGTGTCTCTTCAAGTCCGGGTCCTGTACCAGAGACCTGGGAGCTTGAGGGTCCTGCACAGTAGCCTTGCTGTTCCTAGGACTGCACTCTTCTGGAGTGAGATGTAGATGTTTCCCCAGGGATTTGTTGGAGCCACTTCTCCAGTGTGGGGGGTTACTGCCCCAAGTGCCCCGATGACCACAGGCACCACTGTTGCCTTCACCCTCCAGGTTTTCTCTAGCTCCTCTTTGAGCCCTTCGTACTTCTCTTGTTTCTCGTGTTCCTTCTTTATGATGTTGGTATTGCTTGGGATGGCGACATCTACCACAACGGCTTTCCTTTGCTGTTTGTCTACGATTACAATGTCCGGTTGGTTGGCCATTACCATTTGGTCAGTCTGTATCTGGAGGTCCCACAGGATCTTGGTTCGGTCATTCTCCATCACCTTGGGAGGTGCTTCCCATTTTGCCCTCAGGGTTTCCAGTCCGTACTCTGCACAGATGTTCCTGTACACTATACCGGCTACTTGGTTATGGTGTTCCATGTATGCTTTTCCTGCCAGCATCTTACATCCTGCTGTTAGGTGTTGGACTGTTTGCAGACTCTTTGCACAGCCTGCTCCTGGGATCTTGCCTGGTGTGATAGATCTGGGCCTCTATTGCTCTGGTTCTCAAGGCCTGTTCTTGTGCTGCCATGATTAGTGCCTCTGTGCTGTCCTTCAGTCCAGCCCTCTCCAGCTATTGGTAGGATTTGTTCATATCAGCCACTTTAGCTATCTGTCGGTGGTACATCCCATGCAGGGGTTTTTCCTCCCATGATGGTTCCTCCAGTTCCTCCTTACCTGTCAGTTTCCATTGTCTGAGACTCTCACTAAGCGCTCCATCTCTGTGGGCCATCTATAGTCATGAGTTTGGATGTTTCATCTTTGATAGTGGCCCTGATGCTCACTAATCCTCTGCTTCCTTCTTTGTGCTTAGTGTATAGCCTCTAGATATTGGACTTGGGGTGGAATCCACCGTGCATGGTGAGCAACTTCCGAGTTTTAACATCTGTGGCCTGAATTTTCTCCTTTGGCCAGCATATTATTCCAACAGGGTATCTGATCACTGGCAGGGCATAGCTGTTAATTGCCCAAATTTTGTTTCTGCCATTGAGCTGACTCTTTAGGACCTGCCTTACTCGCTTCAGGTACTTGGCCGTTGTTGCTTTCCTTGTGGCCTCCTCGTGGTTGCCATTTGCCTGTGGAACGCCAAAGTATTTGTATCTCTCCTCCACAGCCACTATTCTGCCCTCTGGAATCGTAGTGCCCTCTGTATGGATTACCTTCCCTTTTTTCATCACCATTAGGCCACACTTTTACATTCCAATGTTACTGCTGTAGATCCTGGTGTGGATCAGCGAGTCAATGTCTCTCCCGCTCTTTGCGTACAGCTTGATGTTGTCCATGTAGAGAAGAGGAGCTGATGGTGATCCCATTTCGGAGATCGATCCCGAGTGAAGTGGCTTTTTATCAGTATTTTATGCAGTTTTTAGACCGATATTCATGTCACACTCACTCGATCTAGGCTGTTTTTAAACAACACTCTTCATCAGAGCAACGATTTTAACAATCGGACCGGGATTTTAAGAATTTTTACCCCGTTGCCTACTGGACTGCCTGTTAGCTAATCTCGCTCGGCGTAGCGGTATGACTCCATACAGGAGTACAGGAGTAGCTCCATCTACACCTCCATACAGGTGCGATGGTTGCCTACAAAAATCCCAATCAATTGTTGAACTGGAGCGCCGTATTTCCAACCTCTATTGGATCCGGGATGAGGAAAAACTGCTAGACTCTGTGACCACACTGGGCGCAGGTCCCCCTGTCAACGCGTCTGAGTTGGACTCCACCATCCCGCTGACACACGCTGCTCCGCCGGCTACGGTGAGACCCGCGGATGCCTCTGTTTTCCAACCGGCTCCCGGCCCCGGAGGTGCCTCTGCCGCAGCCGGGCTGGCTGTCGCGGTTCCGCCGTCGCTTCCCCAGCCCATCGACCACTGGCACTCGCTGGGTGCTAAGCCCAAGCTCTTGCCTGCTACAGCACTGGATTTTACACCAAACCCGAGGCACAGAGCACTCAGCTCTACTCCGCGGCATCAGCCCTGGCAGTCTGTGGCAGGTAGCAGGAGGGCACACAGAACCAGCCCACAGCCCACCTGTGAACTCCACCTGTCCAACAGGTACGAAGCCCTCAGCCTGCAGGATTTCCCTCCCCTGGGAGCGCGGTCCAGCTCGCCGCCGGGTCCTGTCCACCCAGCTGGCCGTGGCTCTGGTCAGCCTAGGAGCCAGGGGCTGTGTGTTCAGTCCGGTCCCTCCTCTCCATCTGGGCCGGGAACAACCGCGGCCCGATGCCGCCAACCCCGGGTACCATCCCGCCAGCGGCGCAACTCCCAGCGACGCAACTCCCGGCAGCCGGCGGAGCAGCGCACCCCCTCCGTGCTGGTCGTCGGGACCTCGATGGTCAGGCACGTGAGGGTACACGGTGGCCGGACCTTCTGCCGCCTTGGAGCCCGCATCAAGGAGGTTGAGTCTTCTGCCCTTCAGATGTGTGCTCAGCACAGCTCAGCCTCTACACTGGTTCTGGATGCCGGGATCGGCGACATCAAAGACCAACAGTCTGAGACCCTCAAGCGCGACTTCATATCCATGGTGGACCACATGCTGGATACAGGGAAGCGACTTATAATATCCGGCCCACTTCCCCCGCCGCGTTATGGCGATGTCACCACCAGTCGCCTCCGCCAGCTGCACCTGTGGCTCAAGGGCTTCTGTCTGGGGAGAAGTATCCCATATGTGGACAATTTTATTGCTTTTTTAAACAGACCCCACCTTTTTAAATCTGACGGCCTTCACCCGAACCAGGAGGGGTCAAGGCTTTTATCAGTAAATATTGACCTGACGCTCCGGTCCTGCACAACCACCTCCTGACTGTCTGCACACATGCCCTCTGCACCTCATTTACACTCACCTTCACCACTCCCTACCTACACTATACACGCCCCTCCCTCTGTGCCCCCAGTGGCACAGGACAGGATTTACACCATCACAACCATAACCACACATAGACTACTGAGGAAGAGGAGGACTGCTTTTAGACCAAAATGTGTTTTTAATGTTCCCCTAGAAAAATGCACTGAGCGCACGTTCAGCACAGATATTAAAATGGCTGTGCTGAACGTGCGCTCTCTTTTAAACAAATCTTTTATTATCAATGACATAATTACGGACAATAACCTGGACAGCATTCTCCTTACAGAGACATGGCTTGGCACTGATGCACCTGTTATTCTCACCGAGGCTTCCCCACCAAATTTTAACTTTTTATTTTCAACTAGGGGGTGCAGAAGAGGGGGTGGTACTGCCTCAATTACAAAATGCAACATGCATACAAATGAAGTCATTTTTAACAGCTACTCATCATTTGAGTATCATGCCTTCGTCTTTAGCAGCCCACCTATCCTCTGTATAACTATCTACCGACCTCCCAAGTATTCCACTTCTTTTATTCGGGAATTTTCAGAGCTTTTATCAATTATTTATGCCACTTTTAACAGGATTTTAATAACTGGTGATTTTAATCTACATGTGGACATCTCCTCAGACCCAATGTCCAGAGAATTTTTAAACCTTTTACACTGTTTTAACTTCAACCAACATGTCACACAGCCGACCCACAGCAGGGGGCGCACCTTGGACTTAGTCATATCTTATGGTCTGTCCATTGGAGCGCTCTCTGTTGTGGATCTGGCTGTGTCTGACCATTTTTGTGTCTTTTTTACAATCACCAGTTTTAATCAGAGGGAGGCCCCGGTGAGAACAGTGAGGAAACGCTACCTAACTTCTGAAGTGGCTGCAAATTTTATCCAGATCTTACAGAGAACTCCAGACGACATTTTACCAGCACCCTGCAATTTTATCACTGACAACCTGAACAACAAAATGAAGTCAGCACTGGACTCAGTGGCTCCACTTTTTATAAAAACAATCAAATCAAAACCTACATCCCCGTGGAGAACTGGAGACATTAAAAAATTGAAAAGGGAATGCAGGAGTGCTGAAAGGAGATGGAGGAAATCAAAGCTGACAGTGGATTATGACACATTACACCGACTTCTTAAAACTTACAATAACGCAATCAAACAAGCAAGAATCTCCCATTTCCAAAATCTTATCCATAACCATAAAAATAATCCCAAATTCCTGTTCTCCACAATAGACCTTTTAACAAACAAAAATTTTAAAAGATCCTCCATAACACCTGATAATGTCCTTTGTGAGGATTTTGCAGACCACTTCAGAAGAAAAATAGATGACATTCGATCCAGTCTTTTATCCCGACAGCTTTTAACACCTGGATCACCGAATTTACCCGAGGAAGCACTGGAAAGTTTTGCCCTGGTTGATGCGAGGACACTTGGTCGAGTTTTCTCCCAGGTAAAGCCCACAACCTGCCTTTTAGACCCAATTCCCACACCGTTTTTTAAAAAACTCTATGGATTCTTTGAGGAACAGCTGTTGTATTTGGTAAACTGCTCTCTTCAGACGGGTGAAGCCCCTTCTGAAGAAGAGTGATTTGGATCCCAATGTTTTAAATAACTACCGGCCTGTATCCAACCTACCATTTTTAGGTAAAGTTCTGGAAAAACTCGTTTTTAACCAAGTAAATGATTTTTTAAACTCAAAACAAATTTTAGAGACCCATCAGTCTGGCTTTAGGAGGAACCACAGCACAGAGACAGCACTTCTGAAGATTTTAAATGACATCAGATGTGACTTAGATAACCACAAACTCACAGTGTTGGTTCTGCTGGATCTAACAGCCGCCTTCGATACAGTAGACCATCACATTTTATTAAATAGACTGCGGAATGTGGTTGGCCTCTCTGGTACTGTTCTTAAGTGGTTCACGTCCTACCTGACTGATCGAAATTTCTTTGTAGGTATGGATACATGTTCCTCAAGGACCCATAAAATTGAGTGTGGGGTTCCCCAAGGGTCAATTCTAGGTCCAACTCTGTTCAACCTCTACATGTTACCCCTTGGGGATGTCATCAGGAGGCACGGCATCAGCTTCCATAGCTATGCTGATGATACGCAACTGTACATCGCCGTGTCTCCTGATGACACAGGGCCAATTGATGCCCTTTTTAACTGCATTTTAGACATTAAATCATGGATGGCAGCAAATTTCCTGCAGCTCAACCAGGACAAAACAGAGGTTTTAGTCATTGGTCCTGAAGGCCAGAGAGAGAAACTTTTACCAAAGTTACAGGATTTTAAACCTTCAAAATCTGTAAAAAATCTGGGCATGATTTTCGACTCTGAGCTCACGTTTATTCCACATATCAAAAACTAGGTTTCTAAAAGATAGGTTTCTACCATCTTAAGAATATAGCCAGAGTCCGCCCGTTTCTCTCTCAGGCCAGCACGGAGGTGCTGATGCATGCTTTTATCTCGTGTCGTTTGGATTATTGTAATGCCCTGCTCTCTGGTCTTCCCAAAAAGAACATGCAAAACCTACAATTATTACAAAACTCAGCCACACGTGTGCTGACGAGGACCAGAGGGCGGGAGCACATTACTCCTGTCTTAAAATCGCTGCATTGGCTCCCCGTGCGTTTCAGGATCGATTTTAAGGTTCTCCTCCTAATTTTTAAGTGTCTTAATGGTCTTGGGCCGTTTTATTTATCCGAGATACTTTTACCTTATCAACCCTCACGGACCCTGAGGTCCTCTGGAGCTGGTCTCTTAAAAATCCCACAAGTAAGAACTAAGACATACGGGGCGGCGGCATTCAGTTATTATGGCCCCCGATTGTGGAACAGCCTCCCAGAGAGCCTCAGGGCTGCAGAGAATGTTGATATTTTTAAAAAGAGGCTAAAGACTCATCTTTTTAATCAGGCTTTTAATTGACTAGTTTAACTCTTTTAATCCCTTTTATGCTCACTTTTATTGTTTTACAATTTAACACTTTTTATTACCGTTCTATTTTATTCTTTAATCTATCAATTTTATTATTATTATTTTTAGTCGTGTTTTACAGTGCACAGAATCATTTTATCTTACATTATTTACTGGGTCTGTCTTAGCGATTACAGTTTTATTCCTTCAGTTTTAGTTTCTGTACTTTTATGTCTTATTTTATTCTTTTAGTCCCTCAGTTTTTCCAGTGTTTCCTCCTGGGGGCTGCTTCACCGGGAGCGGGTTCTGGTCTGTTGGTGGGGGCGCCGTTCTGGGGACAGCTCTGGCCCGGGTGGAACCAGAGAGCTCTACACCTTGGTGCGGAGCCTCCTGTCTGCCCGGGCTGGTGGTCCCTGTGACGGCGCCCCCTGCAGCAGCAATGGGCCGGGATGCCTCCCGGTCGACGTGGCCCCCAAAGGTAGCGTCTTCCTCACCTCAGATCTCAGTGCCCAGTCATGTCTCCTCACCATCAGCTGCTAACTGTGTAGATGCGTATGTATGTGAAGTTGTGTGTGTGGAAATGTATGTCTATGTTCACGGGTGTGTGTATGGGTATAATTGTGCGGGTGGGAGGTTTGGGGTTTTCTTGGGGATTTTAATGTTTCATTTTGTTTTTATGCTTTGTAAGGCACTTTGTGTTACAATTTGTAGGAAAAGTGCCATATAAATAAAATAAAGTTGAAGTTGAAGTTGAAGTCGGTATCCATAGCCAGTCTTGTTGATTATTTGTCTGAGGGGATTCAAGCCTATGCAGAACAGCAGTGGGGACAGAGCATCTCCTTGATATATGCCACATTTGATGGACTCTTGTGCTCTTGGCTTGAAGTTGGCCTCAAGGGTGGAGTTCCATTGCCTCATTGAGTTTGCAATGAAAGCCCTTAAAGTCTTGTTGACCTTGTACAGCTTTAGGCATTCCAGGATCCAGAGGCCTGTACTATGAAGCTGGATTAACAAATCCAGGATAACTCTGCGACAACTCGCTCAACTTCACCGGATCTCCGCGATCCCGATCAGCTGTACTACGAAGCCGGTTATCAACTCGATAACTGAATCCAGTTCAGATCTGTGCGCGCACACGTAAAGGGGGTTGGGTCAGTGCCACCGGACCAATCTCCACAATGGAGAAGGCTGCATGTCATTTTTCACAGCTGAAGAACAGAGCTTTATTTAAACAGTGAGACAGACACAGCCGCTAAAAGCCGGAGGGACTGCCGGCAAAAAAAAAAGTGTAAATTACATTTGTGTGTTCATAAATTTATGACCCCATAATATGTTGTCATGCAGCGTGTGTGATCACCACGATCACTGACCTCATTATTTCAGACACAACAGCAGTGGGGAAAAGAGTACATGGGAGCAAATAAAAATAAATCTAAAAACATCCTTTAAAGTAGTTTGTAAGTTTATTGGAAGATTTTATTTGTACATATTTCAACGCGTAAACAGTGATTTCCTCACACTGCCTTTTTTTTCTTCATCATCTGATGGTCACATGTCATCTGCAGACACATTTGGGGTTAAGAGTTTTCTAATCTGCTTCAATAAATTCTGAATGATGACTAACAAATTGGAACCTGGAGCTTGGCAAATGTTAGTGTATTGCTTAGACTTCATGCTACCTGAATATTGAGGCCGTCCGAGGAAAACCTGTAACGTTCATAATCAGGTAAATCAAACGGATTTGAACGATCATGAATATAACGCTCTCGGCGAAGCGCTCCTCTCACTATCCGCGCAACGATGTCCCCGGGATCCGGCAAATGTGGGCAAGCCATTTTCCAAGAGATCTGATTGGTCATTGGGCGGTCTTTTATACCCGCTGAGATCCTATCCTGAAACATAACCTGCTCCGAAGCAGGTTTGGCGTTCCGCGTAAGTTACCGGGGCAACGGACCCGGATAAAAAGAGATCCACCTTAGTAGTACGGAAAACCCAGAAGTTATCCAGAAGTTATCTCGCTAAGACCA